GAAGGCAGAAACATTTGAACTGGAATTTATCTCTACAAGAAAAAAGCGGGATGGTTGTTGATATTTTCCTCAAATAATGTAGTTAATTATATTCTGGGGGTTTGGTCTCATTTTTACATTTAAAAACAGACTTAAGGTGAGAGAAGTTCAGCCATTATTGCCTTAGACTGTTTAGAATAAGCCATTTTGCTACTAATGAACTGTATTGGAATCCTTGTTAATTTGAAGTTATTATTTCCACCGCCGTCTGCGGCAGCCTGTAGAAATTCTCGGAACGCGGTACAGGTTCACAAAATAATCGGGATCCCCATCGACGGTGGCAGATTGATTCTGGGGTTCGATCTTCCATGTGTTCGACTTTCAACGCGTCACAGATTTTCTTCCAGACCGGGCAGCCCGCAAAGTGCATTATTTCTGTTGAATTATCACCGAAATTCCACAATTCACAATTTTCAGTTCAGGAGCAGCAATCTCAGTTCGTTTCAAGGGTACCTGACAGATCCGAGTTGTGACGAGGTTCACCCTGCCACTGCAGTGTGCCAGACGCAGCGTAGCCAGGAAATTGTAGGGTGAGCCAGAAGAGAAAGTAGGCTGAGCGATGAGGAACATCGATTGGACCTGAAGTGCTCAAATTGCTTAGCCAATTATCTCTGAAGTGGACCTGCTCTTTTGTTTCCCGGATGCTGCACGTGTGACTACAATTCTTGGCCTTACGTGTGAATTCAGTGACTTGGAGATTGTTTCAGAAAATCAGCCTCTCGAACAGAAGGGAGCTTACGATTTGTTTTCAAGAGGCGTAGAGTTTCAGCTGGGTGCTTGTTGGATCCAGCTCGGGGTCGACATGGTGATTTTAAAGCCATGTCAAGAAAGCACTGCGGTAAATTCGGGAAATGCTGTATTTGCAGAATAGAGTAAACTCAGTCTGAAAAGCAGGCAAACAGGGTAAAACTCCCTTCTATCCTGAGCCCTGCTTCAGCAGCCCAACCCAGAGTCGTTTTCGGCGAGTGCTTTTGCGCTTTGCACGGCGGTAGGCCGCGATTGACACCTCAGTTATTGCGACTCCTTTCTTGGACCACACTAGCAGCCTCATCCCGCCTATAAAGCCTGCCACTAAACATGCTCTAACCATCAGTCTCAAATCCTATTCTAACGCTCAGTTCTTAATCTCTCCCAGCTAGTCAATCAAGTTACAACGCCATGGCTCGCTCCATTCTCTCCGTCGGCCTCGCGATCTTCATCGTTGCGACCCTGGCACTCTCTTTCGCCCAAGGTACGGCCCGTATGTTACCATAAGCTGAGGCCCTTCCTTTGAATCCCTTGCGCAGCGCGTATGTCTGGTCTTTACTCTCTCTCCGCAATCTCGCCTCCGCTGCAGCCACGGGCACCCACACACCACTTCAACGTCGCTCGTTTTTCCACATACAAGGCTGTTGCAGCTCAAGAGCGGCTATTTCATTCTTGCTTGAAGATAACCGTCTTGGCGCTTGCGTCTATTGCACGAAAATCGAACCTTTTCTCTGCCTGGCTCGTGACTCCCTCCCCCCTGCATCGACCTAGCCATCCGACTCGTCTCATGCCTCCCCGGAATCCCCTCAATCCTCCGCGAATCCCTTCTGTCCGCCCCTCACTCCCCTCCTGCCTCTCACTCCCTCAGACTGACCACGTATCCCGTCTCACTCTGCCCAGGCCTCCTCCGCTTAACGTCCTCTCTGCCCCTCACTCCTCTCACTCCTCTTAACCTGCCTCTACCCTACCAGCAACGAGCGCGGGGAGAGGCGTCGTTACAGCAGAAAACGTGGCGAGTATCAACCAGCCCAGCGAAGGCCGCGAGCAGAGCCACCGAAAGCTCCAGAATGGAGTGAAGACGGCATCAGATGGTACGATCATGAGACGGACACCATCTACTACTACGGTCTACTAGCACGGACGATCCAATCGCAAAATGAACGATTAGGTCCTCTCTCATTTCCCCTCTGTGGCATTCTATCCGGCTTTCCAGACAGCTCTTTATCTCTGAATGTTTGTGCCTTCCATGCGGATTTAACATCGTGCCGTGCGATCCAGAGTTGCGAGCCAGTGGCTTCCATCTTCCAGCAGCAAAGACACTGTGCTACCTTGCTGCTGCATTTTACCTGGCAAGGCCTAAAGACTCACTTGCCGTGTTCTTCAAATCTCCTATCCTGCCTGCTGCCTCACTGGGCTGCCCCTGCCATCACCAGGCACGCCATGCAATGTTGTGGCCACGCAGACAGCCGGTTCCTGTAGGTCAACGGGGTGCCTTGAAACTCTTTATAAGCAGCAACGGGACTGTGGTCTCTTGGTTCCTACGACCCAGTCGGTACGTCACAGGCTTGGTGGATGGGCCGTCACGTGCATCCCTTCCCTTGCTTCCCGTCACTCTCACATACCTGGGATCTGGTTTATCGCTCTCACATGAAGGTCCATCGTATGCCATATGCCTACTCCAGTGCAGGGTAGAGGTAGACCACCTTAACGTGTGTGCACATCCTGTGGGATTTCTTTTGCTCCCTTCCCTTGCCCCTCTCAGGGTCATGGCAAGGGGAAGATTGGCTCGGGGAGGATTCCGATGCCGTTTTAGCTCCCCGCGACTTCCTGATAATTCTTCGGTTTCTTGCCAGTGTTTTCTTGTGGGTGCTTGTGTCGTATTGTGTTTTAACCCATGTGGTGGGTGTGTGCTTAGGAGAGGGAACACCTCAATGTTCCGTACTTGGATGTGAGCCACAGTGGTTATATTTGTATCTGATATGTATGTGTTCATGCCATCATCCGTATGGTATGGCCTGTATTCATGCTTTCACCTGAAAATACGATGCGGAGCTCTCGCGTATCACCTCGATTCCCACAGCTACGCCACCTTGGCGTGGTTTCGTCGCCCCAGGGGGCCAGCCCGACCCCACTGTCTCAGGCGTCTCAACGAGCGCCCTGCTCCCACCGTTATTTGAGTCCAATCGAGCCCCACTTACTTTGACTCGACTCAAAAATCGCCCAGGGGGGCAGCCCGACCCCACTCTCTCGGGCGTCTCAACAAGCGCTTTGCTCCCACCGTTAGTTGCAGCGCGGCTGCATCCCTTCGTGCACATGGGGGCGAGGTGGGGGGATGGGAATGAAGGCACAAGAAAACGTACGTTTGTGTGATGCCGGTGTGTGCGGCTTACCAACGGTTGGCTCGTCAGCACTCAGTGACATCCTGGCCCACAACATGAAATGAAGTTGCTTTAGCACATGCTTAATCTCCTCCGCCTTCTCCTCCACAGTAAGTTCCGCAGGAGGACGCTTGTGTAGAGGCTATTGAGAGGGCTTTTGCGAAGGAAACTTCACTGAAACTAGCACCGGGGTCGTTGGCACAGTCGTCATCACCCAGCCTTCACCGTATCAAATGTTTTGCTCCCGAAGCCTCCTTGGAGCTTCCAGTGGGACTGCTCGTCCCCGCACTGGTCTGGGCGGCAGTGATGACTGCTATGATGACGCTGCCTGCCGTGCTCTTCTCAGTGCCTGCCGTCCATGAGGCAACCAGGCCACGCCAGTAAATAGGGGCGGGTTGAGGGGAGTGCGGGGAGAAAGGGAGTGTGGGGGGAAATGGGAGTGTGGGGGAGAGACGGGAGTGTTTGAGAAAGGAGTGGCATGAGTGAGGTGAGGAGAGGAAGTGAAGAAAGGGAGTGAGGGGGTTGAACTTGAATCGAAGAGGCCGCACCCACAGCCGAGTTGAGGCAATAAGTAAACGGATGAGAGGTATTGGTTGGGACTGAGGCTCGCCGGAGTGGGCAGGTGAAGTTCAGGAGTCTTAGGAGTCTCTTTTTGTGGGTGTTTGTGATGCTGGGAGGGTTAAGTTGAATTTGATGTGCATGTTCTCGTTGGGAATCATTACCATAATTACCATACTTTTCCAGACGATTGCAAATTGGTTTGGTAGCTAGTCAGTGAAGGCTCCATCAAGGTCACAAGTGACAGACAACATTACTACAGGTGGAAAAGAAATCAAACTCTACAGCATGCAAGTGAGAAATGCCCTGGAGTACTGACCGCAAGACCTTGCTAGAATACCAGCCTTGAAACCGGGAGTGGTTGTGGATGACAATAACCCTACAGACGGATGACAAGAGGGTAGTATGAACTGGGGTGTATAGCCCTGTGTTCACTGTCAGTGGGTCAGTAGAGCAGAGAAGGTTTGAAGACTGCCGCTGAGATCAAGGCTGGCAAAGGCATCATCTCATCGCTGCAGCTGGCAGTGCAGCAGGCCGCTAAGAGGGGAGCGGCAGAGAGGACAGCTGTTATTCTGCTGACGGTGCTGTGCCATGCAGTCACCACAAAACTGGAAGTGCACTGAAGAGGTACGCGATTGGCAGGAAAGGGAAATTGCGCCAGGGGGGTGTCAAGGACAAAGTGACAGGGGGAAAGGCGAAGAAATTACGGCGGGATACTCGCAGCACTCAAAGGCAATAGAAAGAAGGCTGTACAATGCAAAAGGTGGTGGTGGGTGCGAGGCGCTTACTGCATGGGAGAAGCAGCACATTTCGTTCCTGCAGGCAAGACGAGCCAAACAAAGAAAACAAGTGGTGGGGTATTGTTATATAGGTGGTCACAATCGTCACTACCATAACATGGTATGAACGATATCAGCAGCGTATTCGCATATGAAACAAAAAATACATTGTGAAATAGCTCCCAAACCTGTAGGTCATCAGCAACGCACATGCCAGGTGCGAGCTCATGGCTCTTGCATCGATGAAACGCATTTCATGCGTGCAGGGAGACAAGAATATACAAGTCATGCAATATCACGAATGGTGCAGCACATACAGCAACCAGGCTGAGCAGACCATAGGTGAGAAAGGCCTACCTTGGTGTAGCAGATGCGGCAAGTGCTGCGATCCCTCTCTGCTTCCTGCCACAGTGATGGCAGGCAGATGGGAAAACAATGGGTGCGGTCACGCGCAGTGCACCATAGCATGTCATGCTAAAACAACAAAGTCCCAGAATGATTACGCGAGGGTTGAACGGAAATGCACCAGTGTTGGTTGCACCAACACAGACGAATCAGGAAAAAATGGATACCTCTACATCAGGGAAGGAGCAAGGACACAAAAAGAAAGAACAGAGAGAGATAAAACCCTGAACGAGCTGGCACTATGAAACATGAAGAGGAAAAGGAAAAAAGTCGAGGTACAAACAAGAGCAGCAACCAGCATCGAGCAACAACACCCAGCCCAGGGGGGCGTCAATATGGCACCCACCAGCAGAGCCGCAACGGCAGCATGTTGGCTCCTCTCCTCGCCAAGCTCCCTCTCCAGCCGCCCACACCGCTGTTGCCTCACCTCCGCCTCCTGCCTCGCCCTCTGCGCTGATGCTAGCTCTCTGCGCGCTGCATGCCTGGCAAGTATGGTAGGGACAGGAGAGAGGAAAGGGGAAGGACGGAAGTGGGGGTGGGGGAATGGAAGGGAAGGGAGTTTAGGATGATGTGATAAAGAATGAATGGCAGTAAATATGGGCGACAGCGGAGAGGAATGATTGTTTGAATGGCAGGTAATATGAATCGTCGTGTTTATGGATGGGAGGAGTACAGCATTGTGCTTTCAACAATCGACATGAAACTGTCACCTCCTTAATCTAACCTGCCACTCTCATTGTAATGGTGATGTGCTGACACCAATCCCACCCGCTTCACTCACCTCACCACACACTCGTTCAATGACAAAAAACACTACTCCCACCCACCACACAATCTCTCACAGACAAGCACACACAGACTCTCACCCAACACCCGCTCTCCCACAGAAACACACGCACGCACTGTCTCGTCTCACCACTCTCTCTGGATGACGGAGTGTATGGACGTATCCACCACACGCAGTAGCCGCTCAGTCCCATGCCACACACACGCACACATGCACGCACGCATGTACCCATGCGCGCATTGCCTCCTCTCACCGCTCTCTCTGGATGACGGAGTGCATCGACGTGTCCACCACACGCAGCAGCCGCTCAGTCGCATGGCGCAGCACCACCAGCTCCCGGTAGCTCGCCTGCTCTGCACGCTGCTCGTCCACCAGCAGGAAAGCGCTGCAGCAGCAAGTCGACAGTGGTGGTGTGGAGAAGTACAAAAATAAGAGATTGACGGATGGATGGGTGGTGTGGTGCCGAACAGTAATTCCTTTCCAATGCATCTTGTCCTTTGCTCAGGAGTCAACCAAACATATGCTTACCTTCCTACCTTCCCAATCAGGGATCCATCCTTGGTAAACAAAAGATAACGTTCTCTCACTTCTCATGCGGCTTGTGTAGTGCCTCTTAAGTTTCTCCTTACCTCCCCATCCTGCTTGCATTCTCCTTATTCAACAACACCTCGTTCCTCATGCGACTCACAATATTCTCTTCTCACCCACCCTGCACTGTCCCCATCTCACCCGTTCTGCACAGTGCGCATGAAGTCGAGGTTCTTCTCATATGGACGGTACAGCTCCTCCAGAGCCCGCCTCGCTGCCACCTCCTCAAACCCGAAGTGTTCCTCCGCCTCCATGCAGAGGCGGTCCTGTGCGCAGGCGATTTGCAGACAATATTAATACCAACTTATAACTACGACATCGCAGGCCAAACAGGCAGCTTCCAGTGCCAACCCGTAGCCGAATTTATGTCGTTGTTCTGCATTTGAGAACACACTTGCACCAAATGAGGGATCTTGCCCCATACCTGAAGCTGAGCTTCGTTCCACTTTCTCAACTCTTCCTCTTGGTTAAACGTCTGAATTCAAATATTAGAGAGCGAGAAAAGAAAACGGAAATGTGAACAGGAAGAATGAGGAAGAGGAGGAAACCAGGAACTTGGAATGATGTTCAAGGTTGAAGGCACGAAACACGCAAAAAAAAAGAGAAGCAATAAAGGCCCGCCAAAGAAAAACGTCAAATCATGTTGAACAAACGAACGCTATTAAATTGGACGTACAAGCTGCTTGGCCAAGGAACGCAATATCTCACGACAATCACAAATGCATGGACGACAGCGAGAAGAAGAAGAAAATTACCATACTTCCTTGTAATTTCCTGTGGTTTCTCCGCTCTCCGTCCTTCCAAGGCAGGATATCCTTCAATGCATATTTCAGCACAAGATATTGTGTAAATATTGATAATGGCCGAGTATTAAGGAAGTCTAACCTCTACTTCTTCGGTTACTTCTATCGGCGGTGGACCGTTCGCGAGATTCATAATCTCGATGGCCTCAATCTCCTCCTCCATCTCCAGAAACGCCTCTTCTTGCTGCGTCGCTGGTCGCATGGCTAACGGCAACGATGAGCAATACGTAACTGAAGAACGGTGGCTCCAGACAGATCACATCAACTCAAAAAGCGATCGTACTGGACCAATGTGTAGCTACTTTCGTCCTGAATCACCACGCCCTTGTACTAATCAATAACCTGCACTTAAAGCCCCTCCTTCTCAACGCTCCGAGCTGCATTGATGTAGCATTGGTTCAGGCGACACTAACTGCTAGTCAGGAAGTTAGCTGATGCAGTGGGCTAGACTACAGTATAGCTGTCCTGACTCCTGTGCTTGACGGCAGAGGCTTCTGCTGTGGACCGGCTTGGCAAAAGCTGGGCTGGGAGGGAAGCATGAGTGATTGGCCGCTTCCCATGCTGCTGTCAGGTTTCCGAATTGGCGTCAACTGGACGATATTCTCGTTTTAAAACCCGAAGCCTGAATTACAAAAACTGAGTCAACGCTCAGGTCCTTTGGTTCGGGGGGAGCACAATATGAGGTTCGGGTGGGTTCGTGACACTTGTGGATGGCGAAACCACTTTGCGAACATACGAGTGTCGCAGCACAATATTTGGGCGACGGGAACCAACACAATAAGTCAGAAGGGCATGTGACCCAAACCAGTGCTGAAAACCGCTCGACACAATTAGTAACTAACCTACCCACGTGAGTATAGGGTTTCCTAACGTCCTGCGAACGGACGGGTAACGAAACCAGTAGCTGCACTGCGCGTACAGTCTTACATTAGGCAGGGTGCGACAACGCAATTGAGAGGACCAAAGGCGCGGATTGTAGCGGTGCTGCTCGTACAGATACGGACGACTGCAGTGAAATAAACCGCACAATATGAAGCTTCCCCTTCCCGTCGCCCGCTTTTCCCCTACCCGTCGCCACGATTTCGACCCCCCCCGACGCCCGCCCTTCGCCCGCATTTCCCCTTCCCTTCGCCCGCTATTCCCCTTCTCGTCGCCCGCTCCCGTCGCCCCTTTTTCCCCTTCCCGTCGCCCGCTTTTCCCCTTCCCGTCGCCCGCTTTAGCCCTTCCCGTCTCCCGCTATTCCCCTTCCCGTCGCCCCCTTGCCGTCGCCTGCTTTTCCCCTTCCCTTCGCCCACTTCACTCCTTCCCGTCACCTTCCTTTCCCCTTCCTGGTATCCGCTCCCTGTCGCCATCACATACCCTTTCCAACCCGCACATACACCCTTCTCTTTCCAGAATAATCGCCATTCACCCCCACACTGCTTGCCTGTCTCCCTCTTCCCCCCATCAATTGCCAGGCTCCTCACCGTCCCCCCCCCAGCTCTCTACCCGGCATCTCCCCCGCTCCCCACGTCCTCTTCCCTGCCTCCCCCCATTCCCTTCCCTGCTTCCCCCCGTCCCCTTCCCTCCTTCCCCCCATTCCCTTCCCTGCTTGCCCCCGTCCCCTTCCCTCCTTCCCCCCGTCCCCTTCCCATCATCCCCCCATCCTCTTCCCTGCTTCCCCCCGTCCCCTTCCCTGCTTCCCCCCATCCCCTTCCCTGCTTTCCCCCGTTCCCTTCCCTCCTTCCCCCCGTACCCTTCCCTCCTTCCCCCCGTCCCCTTTCTATCATCCCCCCATCCCCTTCCCTGCTTCCCCCCATTCCCTTCCCTGCTTCCCCCCGTCCCCTTCCCTCCTTCCCCCCGTCCCCTTCCCATCATCCCCCCGTCCCCTTCCCTGCTTCCCCCCATCCCCTTCCCTGCTTCCCCCCATTCCCTTCCCTCCTTCCCCCCGTACCCTTCCCTCCTTCCCCCCGTCCCCTTCCTATCATCCCCCCATCCCCTTCCCTGCTTCCCCCCATCCCCTTCCCTGCTTCCCCCCGTCCCCTTCCTTGCTTCCCCCCATCCCCTTCCCTGCTTTCCCCCATTCCCTTCCCTGCTTCCCCCCGCCCCCTTCCCTCCTTCCCCCCGTCCCCTTCCCATCATCCCCCCATCCCCTTCCCTGCTTCCCCCCATCCCCTTCCCTGCTTCCCCCCATTCCCTTCCCTCCTTCCCCCCGTACCCTTCCCTCCTTCCCCCCGTCCCCTTCCTATCATCCCCCCATCCCCTTCCCTGCCTCCCCCCATCCCCTTACCTGCTTCCCCCCGTCCCCTTCCTTGCTTCCCCCCATCCCCTTCCCTGCTTTCCCCCATTCCCTTCCCTGCTTCCCCCCGCCCCCTTCCCTCCTTCCCCCCGTCCCCTTCCCATCATCCCCCCATCCCCTTCCCTGCTTCCCCCCATCCCCTTCCCTGCTTCCCCCCATTCCTTTCCCTGCTTCCCCCCGTCCCCTTCCCTCCTTCCCCCCGTCCCCTTCCCATCATCCCCCCGTCCCCTTCCCTGCTTTCCCCCATCCCCTTCCTGCCTCCCCCCATCCCCTTTCCTGCTTTCCCCCATCCCCTTCGCTGCTTCCCCCCATGCCCTTCCCTGCTTCCCCCCGTCCCCTTGCTACGCTGTTTCGCCCTTCTCGCACTCTTCCCCCTCCTCTTTTCCCCCCTGCTCAATCTGTCACCCGCTGCTTCTTCTCTTCCCTCCCGCACATTCCGTTTACTGTCTTTCCCCTTCGCTCACCTTCATATCCCCCAATGCAGTTACAGGAGCGCAGCACCAGGTGTTGTGACTTTACCACGGCCTGGCTTGTTGCTTGCAGTGTAGAATTGTGGGTTGAGTGATTCCCCTTACAATTACAGATACAGTAATGTATTATTTGTTGAACTCCTTGGTAGTGGTCATGTCTTGTGTATTGCTGGTCAGAAGCTCATTATCATATATTAAAAAAAAGAAAAAAGAACCCATACATGGCAAAAAAAATACGTCGAGTTACTATCAAACAGCCAACACATCACAGCCTGATGCAGAGCACCCCTGTACAAACACACACCAGGAAGTCAGATGTGACGGAACTGTAGTAGAAAGGAAGAACGCATGCAAAAGAATGACACAAATGAGGAAGTGAGGAATGAAGGGTTGAAGGGGGAAAGGGATGATGGAAGGGAGGTAGGGAGGACGTGGGGGAGAGAAGCAGAAGGGAGGGGAGGAAGGTGGGGAGGAGAAAGGGTGGCAGGGAGGAAATGAGCATGGAGGATGGGAGGAACAGAGGGAGTTGAGGTACGGCAGATGGGAGACGTGGAGGAAGGGGCGGGGAGAGGAGGGAATGAGAAAATAATGGGTTTGGAAGAGGATGGATGGCAAGAAAAGGGATAGGGAGAGGATCAAAGGGGAGAGGATGGATGGGGAGAGGAGGGGATGGGTAGGGGATGGGTATAGGAGGTGGTGAAGAACGAACGTTCTAGCGAGGCGGAAGATGGGAAGAAGCAGGGAGGGGAGGGGACGGGGTGGAGGTGACGGGGAGGTTGCGGGATGGGGTATGACTGTATGGTGGAATGGTGAAAGTAGGCATGGGAAATGGAAGGATGGCGAACGGAGGCAGAGGGAATGATGGGATGGGGAAAGGAGGGATGGGGAAAGGAGGAAAAGGGGATGGGAAGTAGGATGGCAGGGGGAATGGGGTGAGGTAGAATTGGGTGGGGCGGAACGGAGTGAGGTAGAATTGGGTGGGGCGGAATGGGGTGAGGCGGAATGGGGTGAGGCGGAAGGGAGGAAGTGATGAAGGGATGAAGTGATGAAGGGAGGAAGAGAGGTTGGGAGGACGGGGGGAAGGGTGGACAAGCAGCACCACGTCCAGTCTCTGCTGCGTGACTCTGCCCACCGCCATCCGTCCACAGCACCCCAAGCAGCTCCTGGTGAAGAAAAGCACAAGGGATGAGGAGGTGCCGCTGGGCCGAGGGCGGTGTGGGAAACACCTGGAGGGGAGGGGGAGAGAATCTGATGGGGAAAGGACGGATGGGGAGGGATGAGGAGAGGATGGATGGGAAGAGGAGGGAAGTGGTGAGGAGGGGTGGGTTTGGGAGCGTGCAAAGGAGGTATGAAAATATCTGGAGTAACAGCGTAAGGGAAAGAGGTATTGCGCATGGTAGTGCAGGGAAGGAACTTTTGGCGAGGTGGAAGATGGGAAGAAGCAGGGAGGGGAGGGGATGAGGTGGAGATGACGGGAAGGTCGCAGGATGGGGTATGGTGGAATGGTGAAAGTAGGCATGGGGAATGGAAGGATGGGGAGTGGAGGGAGAGGGAATGACGGGATAGGGAAACGAAGGATGGGGGAAACGGGGAAAGGGGGATGGGAAGTAGGATGGCAGGGCGAGAAAAAGGATTGAGAGAGAGATATAGGAAGGGCGGTAGAGGGGGATGGGAAGTACCGTCATACCCCGGATATACCCCCATGGGGGGCACTAATAAAGCGTGTTTTTTTTAGGGGGTGGGCTTATAATATAGTAATTTTATAAGCGCCGGGGCTTATACAATGACATATATGAAATCTAGTTGTTTTCACTTCAAAATGTTCATCTTGTCATTGCGATTTCAATCGAGTCAAGATCATAGTGGGTATGAAGAAGAATCTCGCGTAAGTTTGCAAATTGCCAACATACACAGTCAGAATGAGTCATTTCGCCCCATGACAGCTCATTCTGACTGGACGCGCAGTCAAATGAGTCGCGCGAAGGTGGGGCAGTGAGTTGCGCGAGGGTGAAGGGTCGAAATTTTATCAAGTGAGGATGCAAATAGTGTGTTTCGCTACAGAGATTCTAGTAACTTTATAAAAACTAATACAAATGGTGGCTCTTATAATACGTAAGCCTTCAGGGGGTGCGCTTATAATCGAGCACCGGATATAAGCGCCACACGCCAATTAAAAGCGTCAGGCGCTTATTCGCGGGTGGCGCTTATATCCGGGGTATGACGGTAGGAAGAGGTGAGAAATGGCGACGTGTGACGATGCCACACAACAGGGTGCGGCGGAGATGGGGAGGTGAGACGGAGATGGGGTGAGGGATGGGGAGATGCGGGATGGGGAGGTGAGGGATGGTGAGATGAAGGATGGGGATGTGAGGGATGGGGATGTGAGGGATGGTGAGTTGAGGCATGGCGAGGTGAGGCATGGCGAGGTGAGGGATGGCGAGGTGAGGGATGGTGAGGTGAGGGATGGCGAGGTGAGGGATGGCGAGGTGAGGGATGGTGAGGTGAGGGATGGTGCTGCACATGGAAATAAACCGCTGCCATTTGTACGCTGAATGCGCTGACTCTAACTCTAGCCTGAGGGGAGAAAGGGTGGAGATGACAAGGGAGTAAGGGTGGAGATGACAAGGGAGTAAGGGTGGAGATGACAAGGGAGTAAGGGTGGAGATGACAAGGGAGTAAGGGTGGCTATGAGAAGGGAGAAAGGGGACGGAAGAGAGTGAGCGAAGGCGACTGGAGGGGGGTAAGCGTGGGCGACGGAAGGGAGTGAGAGTGTGCGACGTACGAGCAGTGAGCGTGGGCGACGGATGGGGAGAGAGCGTGCACAACGGGGAGGAGTGAGCGTGGGCGACGAGAGGGAGTGAGCATGGGCGACAGAGGGGCCCGTCGCGGCGGGAGGGAGTGAGCGTGGGCGGCGGAAGGAGACCGAAAGGGAGTGCGCGGCGCGGGCGGCAGCGTGCGACGAGAGGGAATTGGCCATGTGCGACGAGCGGGGGTGTGCGTGTGCGACAGACGGATTGCGCGGTGGAAAGGGAGTGAGCGTGGGCGACGGGAAGGGAGTCCGCGCGGGCGACGGAAGGGATTGAGAGAGGGCGACGACACGATTGCGCGAAGGCGATGGGAAGGGAGTGAGCGTGGGCGACGGGCAGATCTTGAGCGTGGGCAACGGAAGGGAGTCCGCGTGGGCAGCGGGAACGGAGTGCGCGTGGGCAGCGGGAACGGAGTGCGCGTGGGCGACGGGGAGGAGTGTGAGTGATCGGTCTCGGGGAGTGCCCGTACAGCAATGAAGCTGGGGTTTGTAATCCGCGACGGAGGGAAGCGAGCGTGCGCGACAATGGGGATGGCGCGAAGGAGACGGGAGGGGAGGGAGCGTGCTCGTTCAAGCGAGGAAGCGTGAGCGATGGAGGGGAGTGCGTGAGTGGGACGGAAGTGGACCGAGTTTTCTCGTTGGGGAGTAGTAGATAATGCGACGAATTAGTTGGATAGAATCTTAGAAAAGAGGACAAAGACGACGCCGCCGGCTATGAACAGGAGCGACATCGATGCGGTGGGCGATGGGGAGGTGACGATGGGCATATGTGCAAGCATGGGCACGGCTAGGTTTGTCGAGCGAAAACGTGACCCAGAATGGCGGAAAGATATATCTACGGATTAAACGGAATGGGCTAATAGTCCTAACGAGTAAGGCGGAGGTAAGAGGCCTGGGGCTGGAATGGGGTTGGAGCCTAGCTGTTCTAGGCTATGGCTGCCGCTCCAACTAATCAGACTAGGCAGTTTCGATCGACCTGAATTACATATTTCCAGTTTGGTGTGCACTCCTCCGGCCAGAGTGGTTGTGCAGGAACCGAGCGACACTTCCCTGAGCTGCCTGCGACTTCATAACGTTTGGCAGGTGAACAACTGGTAACCACCTCCCAACTTTTTTTGTAATTCAGGCTGCGGGTTTTAAGGGCTGTCAAAAAAGGATATCATCACAGGTGTGGAAAGAAACTGGAAGTAGCACTGCACCTAGTGTGGAAAGAACTAAATACAGGGGGAGACTAAATGTGCATCCAGCTAGGGAAACTAGAATACAATTCCTACACAGCACTTATCAAGCGTGCACCCTAGTGCACGTCATCGCTGTTGCAAAACCACAAAAGCGCATGCTACAAACAGTCATCACAACCGCCTCAAGTTGTCTAGCCGTGCCTGCAAGTCACTGTCAATCCCAGAATCATCCGATGCACCACCAACCGACGGGGCTGCTGATGGGGCACTGGGCATACCGCCACCCCCACCACCACCCCCACTGCTGCCACCATCACCACCGCTGCTGCCACCACGACCCATCCCCCCTCCCCCGCCTCCACCACCGCCCCCACCAGCCCCCACTGCATCTGCCTGTGCCACCTTGCCTGTTGTCTGTGCCTGGGGCGCTGCTGGTGTTGGCGCATTCATGAGCTGAGAAGGGACGAGGAAATGTGGGGAGGAGGAGGGGGGGAAGGAAAGGGGGGGTTGGAATGGGAGGATAGGATATGCTGTGAGAAGCGAGCAGTGGCAGAGAAGGCATGTATAAGGCCATGACAATGCCATAAAACACACCTACACAAACCAGCGATCCAGTGGGATAGAGGTATGGAATCTGAGAGGCTAGCATGCATGACAGCACACGGCATAAGAAGCACTCTCACCACCTGCAGGCCATCCAGGGAGCACCCAGCTGCTCCAGAGCGCGCACCTGCTCCTCAAAGCACCTGCCTGCTGACCATCCGGCAAAAACCCACCTGTTGGTTGATGTCGATGCCAATCTCGTCCAGCACTTCATCAATCAGCTCCTCCGTCTCCTCCTCCTCATTGAGCCGACTAGAAAAGCATTGTTTGCCACCCAAGGAGCACGCACCTGTTGGTTGATGTCGATGCCGATCTCATCCAGCACTTCATTGATCAGCTCCTCCGTCTCCTCCTCCTCCTCGTCGCCCTCCATCGCATCGTCTATGGCGTCGCCCATCATCTCTGAAGTCATCTCCATGCGCTCATTCGCCATCTCAAACTCCCGCATCACCTGCACACACAAGGGCACACGGACGTGGAAGCATAGAGAACAGTTCAGGGTGTGTGGAAGCAGTGCCTCTCAGTGCCTCTTCGTGCCTCTGACGTCATCTCCATGCGCTCATTCGCCATCTCCAACTCCCGCATCACCTGCCCACACTCAAATGCACAAGCGCACACATATGTGAAACAACACAAAACGTAGGGATGTGTAGAATCAAGGATCCCGTGCCACTCAAAGCCTCCAACATCATATTTGTGGGCCATCTCACTCACACTCCTGCATCACCCCGAATCTGCATCAATCACACAGAATGTGCACGGACCATGAAAGACCAGGATTCCAGCCACCAGCAATCAGAAAGACGACAATGTGCGGCCCGGCCCCATGTGTGAACTTCATAATAGAAACAGACCAAATCACACAGGTCCTTAACAGCTGTTGGATCATGAATGGTAAAGAAGCTAGCATGTCCAACAGAGGGCTCACAAACCAGGTTTGGGCTTAATGGCTCTCAGAAGTAGGAATTGGCTCTCTTTTAATGCACCTTTCGCAATGCCGGCAGGTTGAGCTGCTTGTTCATGGATCACATGGTTTTTATCACCCCATTCACCACATTACACAACCACACCCCGTCTGGGTTCAAGAGTTCTGAGAGGTAGAAACAGACTTTCTTCTGACGCACCTTCTGCATGGCTGGCAGGTTGAGCTGCTTGTTCATGGATCGCATGGCCTTGGTCACGCCCTTCATAGCGTCTGCCATAGCCTGGGTGGACTTGAGGGTCTGCAGGTGGTGTGGTGCCGAGGCGGGGGAAGGGAAGGAGGGGAGAGATGGGGAAAGGGTGCGAGTGGGGTGGGGAGTGGAGGAGGAGGGGGGGGTTGAGGTGCCTGGAAAATCGTCTATGCGTGGGTCGCCTTGAGGGTCTGCAATGGGGGCGCTAAGGGGAGCACAATGGGGGAGACCAATGGAAGGGAAGGCGGGGAAAGTCAGGGTAAAGGTGGGAGCGGGGTGAGGGAGTAGTGGGAAAGGGGAGAGGGGACGTGAAGCTTAAAGAGCACCAAGAGGGGGGAGAGCTGGATGGAAGAGAGGCCGATTGGAGAGCATGCACATGGTGACAGTGATTTCAATGTATCACAAACAGAGAAGCACGATGCAAAGGCCCAAAATGCCCGAGTGACTTCAAGAATTTTCAGAAGTGACACAATCACGGGCAGAGAAGAGCTAAGAAGCGGGCCATAATAGCTCGGAGACGGCTGGAGCATGGCATCAGGAGTGGAGTGCGTGTGTGTGTGTGTGTGTGTGTGTGTGTGTGTGTGTGCGTGTGTGCGTGTACACGTGTGTGTGTGTGTGTGTGTGTGTGTGTGTGTGTGTGTGTGTGTGTGTGTGTGTGTGTGTGTGTGTGTGTGTGTGTGTGTCTCACCTGTATCCGCAGGGACACGCCCTGCAGCTGGGACTTGAGCCCGTAGAACTTGGTGATCTGATGCCGCGTGCGGATCAGATCCTTGGCCATCACCCGCACCGCACCCTGTTTCACAGGAGGACATGCGCGGGGAGAAGGAGGGGGTACGGGGCTGGGGCTGAGAGATGACTTTTGAGTCGACTCAAAAGATGCTTGGTCATGACCTACACCGCACCCTGTTTCACAAGAGGGCATGCGCGGGGAGGAGGAGGGGGTATGGGTATGGGTCTGAGAGTGGGATCCGGACCGAAGGAGTGGGAAGACTGGAGGAGAATGGAGGGATGAAGGGGAATGGAGATCATTGCTGCATGTGTGTGCACACATGCTGGACGCCTTGTCATTGCTGGTGTGCGGAGGAGCTTTTTATGGCGCACAATGCACATGGCATATACGTGTAGTGTGAGTGTGAATTTCATGCGTTTACTCTGTTCCTTCCAATCAAGCTCGCGCCAACTCCTCTTGTTTCACTAACCTTTTAACGTCAGCCATGCCAACACATAATCTCTACCATCGTTGACCAGAGAGTGGACTCACCATCTGCCCTTGCTTCGCCGACTTCTTGATGTCAGCAACGAGCTTCTTCTCCTGCTGCTGCAGCTGCGCTCGCTCGCGGTCCAGCTCCCGAATTGACCGGTCCAGCATGCGCTTGTTCTCCCGCAGGACCTCTGGTCAGGCACGGTAGACAGTGCGTGAGGAAAGCATCGGGACAGAAGTGAGGAGGACAGTGCAATGATACGAGTCTGGTTGGCTAGTCCAAAAGACCGACCAGCTCCCGTATCAACCGGTCCTGCATGCGCTTGTTCTCTCGCAGAATCTTTGGTCAGGCACAAGGAAAGCATGGAAACGCATTGAGGGCAGTGCGATAATATGACATGCGCTTGTTCTCGCTCAAAATCTTTGGTCAGGGTGTGAAGACAGCTTAGGAAGATGAAAGCACTGGGAAAGTAGAGAGGCCCGTTCAAGTGATTTCACAAGAGCTTTTTGTCCCACAGGTTCTCTCTCTGGTCAGGCATAACGAAAGCATCGGGAACTGTGCATCGATTTCTCATGCGCTTGTGCTTCTGGAACGTCTCTATCAGGTGCTCAGGAAGCACTGGGGCAAGGACAACGAGTTCCTCATAATTTCGCCATGAAACGCGCGACATATCATTTGGTGGCACGCATTGGTGGAAAACAAGTCGAAAGCGAGGTGTAAGCTCGCAGTCGTTGCAGGAATAGAGGTACGCACAGGGGGAGACTTCAAGCTGGAATGTAAATCGCAATTCAAGGAAATTGCGAAGACCGAGTAAGTCAGATTCCCAACGAAGGCATATAAGACAAAGAGGGAACACATTCCGTGGACTCAATGTCCAGCTGCGAGGTTGGTTACACCGCCGTTACCTGCTGGTGTTTTCTTCTTTCCAAATAAGAGATCCATGGCGCCGAGCACCTCTCAGTTTTGGCAGCAGAAAGAGGAAGTCTGCGACCACCGTTTTCCCACGGCCGGTCAGAATCCGCCGTCTAAGACACAGCCGCCACTAATGGGCGAATGGGTGGACCGATAAATCTGTGTGAGAAAAAATATGCGTGGACAAGTTTCTTGTTCGACCCGTGCGATTCTAGGGCAAGAACGAATGGCCACGCGTAATGAAGATAAGCAGTCACAGATTGAGTAGCCGGGTAGACTAGAATCTGGTTGCGAAAAGCAGCTACTCCCGTTGTCTGATCGTAGTAGGAGAAGAGTAACGAGCAGTAGTTTTAGCTTCCACCACTTATCTATGCATCGGGATTCTGTGAAGGGGTCCATTTCAGCAAATAGACACACGAAACGGGGAAGGTGCGAGGAAGCGGAGGTAAGATGGGATCAAGCTGGGTGATATGAGCTGCAGTTCGGTGAAGGCTTTCAATGCCGCTGACCTGCACTTAGTCGAAATGCGTGTGGTCGAGGGGCACGAGGGGCATACGAGGGGCGGCTCTCTCATTATCTTGCAAATTGCCCCCCTCCTCACAACAGTTACGACTGTGGCCCCTTTTGCTGTATCCTTGATATAGTGAAAGGCCTTCTATTAAAAAAAAAAAGAAATGCGTGTGGTCTAGAGTCCGGTCCAGTGACGAACCCTTTATGGATAGTACTAAAGAGCTCTAGATTATCTTCCCTCACACACTTGGGATCTGCATCATTTGCAACTTACAATCACTCATCAGTGCACAGCACACAATGTAAGGAAATAGATGGTAGATGCTTGCATTGCAACCAGTGGCTTCCAATCTCACAAGCTCTTATGGCCTAAACATGCTTCATACAACCTAACCTAACCGCACTCAGTCCATCCAAACACAAAATTATCCTAGGGTTGCGATCACCCTTGAAACACTGCAAATCCTCAATTTTCCTGGTACGGTAATCTATTCGGTGAGACCGGCGTTGTCAATGTCAACAGAGCCCATGCCCTCGTCCTCATCCTCGCTGTCCACGTCACCATCCACCTCAGCGTTGGCGTCTGTGAGCTTCTGCATGTGCTCTGCCAGCAACCGGTCATCACGGTCACTCACCTGGGTGGGGACAGCAGAAGGGAAGGTGGGGAGAGGAGGGGGGGGGTGTGTGGGAAGGGATGGTACCAAGTGAACAACCAGGACCAGGGAGTAGCGAGTGAAGGAGAAATGGGGAGCCGCGTGCTGAGAGATGCGGTGAGAGCACAAATTCTGCAAGCGTTTTCCCAGTGGCAGAAATTACGCAAGAACAAGCACCAACAACGCGCTCCCACAAGAACACATCGCCACTAATCACCTCCAGTTGCAGCCGTCACGCATCCTGTGGTCATCATCCTTGCAGCTGACCACGCATGCTGTGGTCATAATTTTTCAATTCCCGCTCTGTGCATCCACCCACACGCTGCTCCTTCATCACACCAGGCATTCACCCCACGCTGCTCCTTCCATCCCGCCATGCCATGCACTCACCGCTCGCGGCGCCTCCTTGACTGTGAGCTTGCCCTTGTGCTTGTCGATCTCTTCACTCGCTGCTCTGATGGCCCGCTCCAACACCGCTATGCCCTTGTCCTGATTGCACCGGACGTTGTGAGGGAGTGAAGGAGATAGTGAAGGGGGGGGGGCGGGGTGCAGACACGGATGAGCCCACTCATAAGACACTCGCTGCTCTGATGGCCCGCTCCAACACCGCTATGCCCTTGTCCTGATTGCACCGGACGTTTTGAAAGACACCACTGGGGAGGGGGGAGTATGGGTGTGGGGGAAGACAAGAGGGGGAAGGTGGGCGAGGGACAAGCGGAGGAGTTTAGTCACAAGTTGCTGCTGTGCTAGCCTGAAGAGCATCTGTTGCAAAGAAATGGGGGGTGGAGGAGGACGAGCGGGGTTACCATGGGCTGAGAGAGTGAGTGACCAGGACGCAGCCAATCACGAAAGCATGAGAAGACAAGTGAACACTGCTTTGAAGAGCAGTAGAACAAGAGAGGTTATCACATATATGAGCAGCGTGCCCCTTAGCAAGCCCACCTTGGCGAGTGTGAAGGTGGTGAGGACGTAGAGCGGCGGCGCCACAAGCACAATGCGCACCGCACAGTCCTCCTCGCTCTCCTGCTCCGCGCGGCGCATGGCGTCCTGGAGGGAGGGCACGGTGAGGTGAGGGCAGGGGATGTGAAGACGAACAGGAAGGAAGGGTAAGGATGACAGGGAGGTGACGCCAACAGGTTCGCCTTCACGTCCTCCTCGCTCTCCTGCTCCGCGCAGCGCACGGCGTCCTGGAGGGAGGGCACGGTGAGGGCAGGGGAAGGGCCGATGGCGGGGGCGGAGGTGGGGGTGGGGGAAACAAGATGTGTTCTGTCCAGACATACTCAACACAGTCCTCCTCGCTCTCCTGCTCCGCCCGGTGCATGGCGTCCTGGGGAGAGGGCATGGTGAGGGCAGGGGAAGGGGCGACAGTGGGGGCATGGAGGGCAAACTAAAACGTGCTCGGTTCGGTACGGTGAATAGCACACTGGCAAGAGAGCAGGGGCAGGGCAGGGCAGTAGAAGGGGCGAGGGCGGGGTCGGAGGGGGGGGGGAGGTGGGGATGGAGGTGGGGGTGGGGAAACAAGATGTGTAGGACACACTCAGCTAACAGCTCTAAGGCTGCGATGGGTAGGACCCACCTTGATGTGCAGCACGCCATCGTAGTGGAGGCACTTGAGCTCGATGCCGTCAAAGGCATTGACTGACTGGTGCGACAATAATAAACAAAGGAGAAACGCCGCCAGCAAGTTTGCAGGTGGGCGCAGCGCACCCTGATGTGCAGCGCGCCGACGTAGTGATTCGTGAAAGCACTTGAGCTCAATGTCGGCTCGCTCAGGGGCGTACTTCCAAAAGAAAGAAAGAAAAAAAGAGCATGCCAACAACAAGCGTTCAGAGGGGCGCACCTTGATGTGCAGCACGCCATCGTAGTGGAAGCACTTGAGCTCGATGTCTGCTCGGATCTTGAGGGGCTGTGGGGTCATTCTGCGCCGGATGTTGGCAATCAGGTTCGCCTTCACGTCCTCTGGCATTGCCGGCACCTCCCTCTTCACCTGCCGTGCGCACACACAGAGAGTGGGATGGTGGGAGGTGGGAGGGTGGAGGATTCAGGGGGAAGGTTAAGGAAGACCGAGAGGTGACACTATAAGGTTCGCCCGCACGTCCTCTGGCATCACCAACACTTCCCTCTTCACCTGCAGCGGGCTGACAGCAGGCGGGGGGGTGGTGGGTGTGAGGGTGCAAGGTTGGGAGGGTGACTAGGGTGGGAGGAAAGAGAGTGAGAGGGTGACTAGGGCGAAGGGAAAGGAAGTCGGGTGCGACCCAACCCCAAACATAAACCATCCTGAGTTAAATTCCTTTCATCACAAAAAAAACACCTCACCAACTTTTTCCAGTCTTCTCAAACTGTATGGCTGAGGACTAACCCCCTTGCTGCATCCCACAACTGACCTCCTTGCCGTCTTCGCCTGTCTCAGTGATCTCCTTGGTGAGCCCCCCCAGCACCGCGTCTGGATCCGTCACCACCAGCTTGAACGCCTGCCGCGGGTTGTGGATCATGGGTGGGTCATAAGTCATCATGGGTTAAGGGTCATGGGTCACAAGTACATCGGTCACTGGTCACTGTCATCAGACGCAATCATGCACCCAGCACAATACATCATGCAGAACCATATCAACTGGTAACGGCTCTATCTACGTGACCTTTTTAGTGGGATTCTGGCCGAAGGGCTCGTAATGGGGTACGGCCCAGATCCTTAAATGTCTTGCACTCCACCCACCTCAATTCAAATGCACTCAATATAACTGCTCCAATTCACGCAAAAGCTCTCTGAAACAAGAATTCTCTCCGCCTATAGCTCTTAGCCGGTTCATTTCGACTTCTTGCGAGCAGGTCATTACAAAAGTCGAATTCTAGGTAACCCCCAGCAGCAGGGGTAGTCCCGCTCTCACCTCGAACGCGTGTCCGTATTTGCGGTACAGCGGCCACGTCACGTTCGTGTATAGCTCCTGCACGGCCACGACGGGAGGAGGCAGAGGGGAAGAGAGGGTGGGGGGTGGGGAAGAGAGGAATAGGAGAGGGGAGAGGGGGACGAGAGAGGGGGACGGGAGAGGGGGAAAGGTGTTCAAAGGGGCGCCAAGAATTTGGAAGAAACAGCGGAGGTCTCTGAATATGCCATGGGTGGATATTGGGAAAAGGGTTTAACAACGGGAACGCTGTGAGCAAATACTGATAAGATGAGGGCGAGAGACAACAGTAGATTCGGTTAACGGACTTCTGACCGTGCGATCGTTCCCACCTCGACATCGACGCCGGACGTCTCTGCCACGTGGCGCATGATGCTGTGAACCATCTTGGACTTATTGTACTTCTCCTCGCACGCCGCCACCTCCTCCTCCGATACACGCCGCTTCGATAGATCGATATAACCCTTCTGCTTGTCCACGCGGACCACCATAACGGGCTCTTGCCGGCCGACCTTGATCAGACTCGATATAGAACGAATGCGACGACGGGATAGCTCCGATAGGAGAATCATACCCTCGATATTGTTGTACTCAAGAAGCGAGACATACGCGCCCATATCGGCGATGTTCTTAACTTGAACCATCACCACCTGCTCTACCTCCGGAAACTTCGCCTCGTACATTCTACAGTCGACGTTCGGCATGGCTGCTAGCTTTTCGCAAAGATAATATTTAAAGATCTGATTCAAGGATTCGCGCAGCAAGAAGAGGAACGGATCAGTGCACAATCAAAATGAGCGGAAATGCGATTGCAGGAAACGGATCAGGCGCTATCGGCGTTGCGTGTGACTGATACCAGGTATGCCTTCCGCACAAGGGGATGGCAGGGAGGAAAGGGAGGAAAAGGTGAGTCTCCCAACATAAACCTTGAAGACTGTCTTTCATTCAATACTCGCTAGAGGTTTGCGTAACCGTGATTCAGGAGTTTCCTCAGGACAAAAGTCAGTGTAATAGCTATGACCTGTGTCATATTTGGAATACAATGCGTGCTCCTCCTGCGTGGCAAAAACTTTTACATAATAAAGTGCCAGCACACTTATTATAACAACAAGACCTTGGGTTTTACTGCTGGATGATGAATGCAACTTAACACATAAACATATGAGCAGTAAAGGTAATGTTTCTAGAAGTGTGAAGCTTCTGCAAGTATTGTGCAAAGCCAAGTGTAAGGAATTTTCCCGAATTCCTTATCGGGGTTGACTGCTTCGCGTACAACCCGATTTTCGGAGTTTGCACGTTCGGCTGATTTCAACGCTGCCGAGGCTCCTCGCGTCGCCTTCGGCATTTCCATCGCCGAACTTGCACCCAACTTCGCCACCCGAGGTTTCCTCCTGGTTAGGCTAGTCCTATAATAGTCTGTGCATTCATTGTATTCTCAGATTCATTCAATCACAGCCTCGTTATTCGTTTACCTGCGCACTCTCCTTTACAACTCATAACACCTGGTATCAGAGCTACTTTCCTAGTTCACCCCGCTTTTCCGAGGGTAGTTTGGTGGCATAGGGTGTGGCTGGTTTAGTGACTACACGACGGTTGGCTGCAGGGATTGTTAATTCAATCCTGCCCGACTCCGATAGTTCGTGTTTTCATTTGCCTGAAGGCCACGGAGACCCGACTGCCCACCGACTGCACATGGATCAGGAGGCAGTGAACAGGATGATGGCGCAAGTGGCAGAAATGCAGGAAAGCATGAAGTCGTTGGCGGAAGTGACGACACTACGAGAGGAAAACGCCGAGCTACGCCAGACGCGAGATGAAGCGCGTCAGGAGTCGCCTGTGGACGAAGGCGAGGGCAACAGTCAGGCGATGAGCAATCCATTGGATGCGCTCACACGTGACTTCGAAGAGGAGGATAGGCAGCGAGCGGCAGCAGCACCAGTTGCAGTGACGACGATCAAAATCAAGCCCGTCAACCCACCTCCGTTTAATCCTACGGACAAAACGGTTACGGTAAAAGGGTGGTTGTTCGGGGTCGAAGTCTTCTTTACTGCAGCCGGAGTTAATGACGACGCCACGCGTATTAATTACGCAGTCTCCCTTCTTCGAGGTGCAGCGCTTGAGTGGTGGCGCCGAACCTTAGAAACAGGGACTTCGACAGGTGTGACACATGCGGCAGACGGGACCTCTACAGTGACTAATCAAGTGGCAACCTCGATCTTCGGAGTGACCACGATACGCACATGGAAGGAGTGGGGCGCAGCCTTACGAGGTCGCTTCGAGCACGTATCCGCCTCGGAGCAAGCTCGCATGAAGCTGCGTGCATGGTCGCAGATGGCTTCTGTCTAAGACTACACGGCGTCATTTATGAGCCTCGCCGACCAAGTTGATGACATGTCGGAAGCTGAACGGCTGGATAAATATATAAGCGGCCTCAAATACGAGATACAGTACGAGGTTCGCAGGGGCCGTCCGACGTCATTTCTTGCAGCTGTACAGTTGGCGGAGTCCACGGATGCGTTGATGCAGTACGCGAGAGCAGCTTCCCGGGAGGGAAACCGTTTTCGTGGCCAGACCCATCGGACCACGATCAACGCCGTCCATACACCCGACCGCCCTCCTAAGGGACCGTGTTACCGGTGTGGGAAGACGGGTCACTACATGAAAGACTGCCACGAGAAAACGCCGCTGACGGGGAACGACAGGAAGAAGCAGGGAAATGGGAAGAGTCAGTAATTAGCGGGCCCTTTACTGACTGTGCTCCGTCGCCCGAACCCCACCATCCCCACCGAGTCGTGTTTCCGATTCATGCAATCGATCGCACTCGGCCGAATAACGGGGATAATCATGTGGATCACCCTGTGCTGGTCGCTGGCAAGGTGTTAAAAAATAATTTGAAAATGTTCGTCGATGGGGGGGCCAGCCATAGCCTCTTCAATCTGGCGAGCGCAAAAAAATGCAAGCTTCAACTTGACAGGTGTCTGCCCGAAATCGACGCTCGCCTCGTGGATGGGACGCCTCTGGCGATAACGGAAGAAACACGGACGGTCAGGATCGAATGCGGCGACGATTTCGGCTTCAGCATGAAGTTCCTTGCGACAACGCTGGACGGCTGCGACGTACTACTGGGACGCGATTGGCTGCGACGGCACAACCCCGTCATCGACTGGACAGCGGGAACGTGCAGCATCAACAAGCACGAGGGGCTAATTAAGCTGCCTGCATGGACACCTGACTACATCCAAGCCCCGTGCGTCAAAGCCATCACTATAGCTCGACACTTCAACAGGGGCGCGCAGCTGTTCGCCGTTTGTTTACGCGAGTTGGCAGTCGACACCGACGGAAAAGACATCGAGAAGCTGTGTGCAGCGGTACCACCGGACTTAGCGGAGCTGATTCGGAGGTACCCGGAAATCTTCCCCGACGATCTGCCACCTGGACTGCCACCGGAGAGACCTCAGGACCACAAAATCCAGCTGGAACCTGGAGCGCAACCAACCGTTTGGACACAGTGGCGGTTGACCCAGCCGGAACTCGAGGAGCTACGACGACAAATCGACGCACTGTTGGAGAAAGGGTTCATTCGGGCCAGCACATCTCCCTTTGCGCCACCGATTCTGTTCACTCCGAAAAAAGACGGCGGGCTTCGCATGTGTATCGACTATCGTGCGCTGAACAGGGTCACCATCAAGTCTCGCTACCCAATCCCACGCACCGACGACCTACTCGATCAACTTTGTGGCGCTCGCTATTTCTCAAAGATTGACTTACGTGGCGGTTACCATCAAATACGAGTCTTCGCCGACGATTGTCACAAGACCGCGATTCGCACACGCTACGGGAGTTACGAATTTACAGTGATGCCTTTCGGCCTCACGAACGCGCCTTCGACTTTCCAATTGACCATGAACAGGGTTTTTCGGGACCTTCTAGACCGATGCGTCATCGTCTACTTGGACGATATCCTCATCTTTAGCAGGACAAGGGAGCAGCACCTCCGCGACCTGGACGCAGTGTTTAAGCGGTTGCAGGAGAACCGACTCATCACCAAGGGCTCTAAGTGCGAGTTTTTTAAGCAAGAGTTGGAGTTTTTGGGGCACGTCATATCGCGCGACGGCATTAAAATCGACCCGGCGAAAATCAAGACCATACAGGAGTGGAAGTCCCCGACGAACGTCACGGAACTCCAGAGTTTCCTCGGATTCGTAAATTACGTCAGGAGATTTATCCCGAATATGGCGGGGATAACCGGACCGCTGACCGACCTGCTGCACAAGGACAGGAATTTTGTGTGGGGGGAGGAAGCAGAAGCGGCTTTCCAGGAACTCAAGAATTTTCTCGTGTCCCCTCCTGTACTGCGCATCGCCGACCCATCGAAGCCGTTTGAAGTTGTAACCGACGCCTTAGATTTTGCCATCGGAGCTGTACTTCTCCAAGATTTCGGGAATGGGTTGCAGCCGATAGCCTACGAATCAAGGAAGCTGCAGGCAACCGAACGCAACTACCCAATCCACGACAAGGAGATGCTCGCCATTATACACGCATTTAAACTATGGCGATGCTACCTGGTGGGCGCCGACGTCACTGTTCGCACACACCATAAGTCCCTACAGTACCTGCGAGCCCAACCCAACCTCAACCCACGACAGATTCGATGGCTCGACTACATGGAGAGCCATTTCACCTACCGCATCACGTACAAGAAAGGGGCGAATAACATCGCCGACGCCCTGACCCGACCGACAGTACGATCCGCTGCAGTACTCATCACCCATTCGAACCCGCTACTTACAGGACTATTCACCCATGGCTACTCGACGGACCCATTCTTCACGACCGGGAATCATCAGCAGGCCACAACGCAGAAAGGGGATTATTACCTAAAAGCCGGAACCGACCGGATTTGGGTTCCCGCTTACCGGCTGCTGCGTGAACTTCTCATCCAGGAGGTCCACGATTCGAATTTCTCTGGACACTTCGGGGTCGATAAAACCCAGAAATTACTGCACCGTCGATATTATTGGCCTGACTCCTCTAACGACGTGCAGCGATATGTGTCCTCATGCAGGGTGTGCCAAGCCATGAAATCGACACGTCAACGACCAGCCAACGACCAGCTGGGCTGCTGCAACCCCTCGAGCCACCCGAACGACCGTGGCAGCAAGTGACGATGGATTTCGTTACGGGGATGCCAGCTGGGCCGTCCGGCAACGACGCTGTTCTCGTCGTCGTCGATCGCTTCACGAAAATGGCGCACTTCGCACCATGCCGAACGACAATCACAGCTGAAGAAACAGCGCGACTTTTCATCTCGACGGTCGTACGACTACACGGCATCCCTTCGGCAATCATCAGTGACCGCGACCCAAAATTCACATCCAAGTTATGGAAAGAGACATGGGCGCAGTACGGCACGAAGCTACAGTTTTCAACGGTATACCACCCCCAGACCGATGGCCAAACCGAGAGGACCAACCAGACCATGGAGCAGTTAATCAGGACAAACTGCCCCGACCCCGCCCGCTGGGAAGACTCTCTCGCGATGTTGGAGTTCGCTTTCAACAACGCACCATCAAGCACGACTAATCACTCCCCGTTTTTCCTGAATCACGGGATGGACCTGACGGTTCCCACCGCAACTACTCTGGACAACCCGGTCCCACGATCACAAACTTTTGTGAAGGAACTCCAGGAAACTCGAGAAAAAGCTACCGACGCAATTCGCAAGGCGAATATCACCTCCCGCAAATACGCAGACCTTCTACGCCGGAAACTCGTCTTGACCACTGGGCAACTAGTGCTACTTGACACGAAGAACCTGCACTTGCCCGGCCCGTCGAAGCTACGGCCACGATTTTGCGGACCGTTCAAAATTATCAAGATGGTGACACCTGTCACCGCGAAGCTGTTACTACCCGACGACTGGCGAATTCATGACGCCTTCCACGTCAGCCTTCTTCGCAAGTTCGTGCCAGCAACGACAGACATCGCATGTCAACAAGCTGCCCCAACAGCACGACCTGTTCCGGAACCCACACTCGACCCTTCGAAAATCTTGGCTCATCGGGTTCGCCTTGACGCAGCCGGCCGACACGTGGATTTCTTGGTTCGTTGGACTGATCGCACCAGTGAGGATGACACGTGGGTGCCTTCCGCCTCGCTCGATGCATCGCCACTTGTTGGTGATTATTTGGCGCGCAGGCGTGTTGCAGACATTGACCGCCTTTCTTAGAGGGGGGGGTAGTGTAAGGAATTTTCCCGAATTCCTTATCGGGGTTGACTGCTTCGCGTACAACCCGATTTTCGGAGTTTGCACGTTCGGCTGATTTCAACGCTGCCGAGGCTCCTCGCGTCGCCTTCGGCATTTCCATCGCCGAACTTGCACCCAACCTCGCCACCCGAGGTTTCCTCCTGGTTAGGCTAGTCCTATAATAGTCTGTGCATTCATTGTATTCTCAGATTCATTCAATCACAGCCTCGTTATTCATTTACCTGCGCACTCTCCTTTACAACTCATAACACCAAGACTGGGTAGGAACACTACTTCCCATTAAGACTGGCCACACCCCAAATTACACAATGAAGTCAACAAAAAAATTGTAGGTTCGAAAAACCCCAGAAAGAGGTTCAGTGGGAAAATCGAGAACCAATCGCGTCAAAAACCCACTCAAAACTTTCGACCAATCACGTGAAAGTGGTGACAGTTTTGGGGCCGAACGTGTCCTGGATGTGTCCTTCAAACCTGTATGTTTTATGTACAAAGACACGAGGATTGCTCTGCGTCACTGCTCCGAGCCTTTCTTGTGCTTCCTTCTTTTTTCTTTCTTATGTCGCTTCTTGCGCTCTGAGTGCTCCACCTTTTGTCGTTTCTTGTGTTTTTCCCTCTTCTCCCTGTGTCTGCTGCTGCTCCGCTTCCTCCTCTTTCTCTCCTTCCTCCTCTTCTCCCTCCTCTCACTCGAACTCGAGCTGCTCTCACTGCTCGATGAACCAGTGCCAGTGCCACCACTGCCACTCCCACCGTCACCGCTACTCTTGCAGCCACTGCCGCCACTACCACTGCTACCAGCAGCACCACCAGCAGTGCAACGAGGCCATTCATCCAGTGCAACACCTCGAATCCATCGGCCATCAGTCCCTCCAGCGGCACCACCAACTCGACCTGCAGCATGACCGCTACCAGCAACACCAGCGGCACCAGCAGCACCAAGAGCAGCAGGGTCAGCAGCTGCCCATGAGGTCGATATCCCTCTACCCTTTCCAGCAACCACGCTGTCCTCCCACTCCTCCCTCACTCGCGCCAGCAGCATGCCCACTGCTCCACTCCCCTCCTTTGCGTCTCCCTGCATGACTGCAAGTTGTGAAGGCGGCTCCGATCCCCATGCATCGGCACGAGAGCCAATGGCCCCTCTACCTCTCTTGGCCCTGGAGAGCACAGAGGGAGGGCAGAGAAAGAATCAGGATTAAGCAGAGGCAAGAAGGGGGGATATGAATTGGCTAGATCGGGGACATGGTTGAGAGTGGAAATATGCTATGATTCCATACTGCAGCATGCGCCGAACTGTTCCCAGATTTGCTGTACCCCTAATACGGCTGACTGCTTTAGCATAAATCATCAACGGATGTGGAAAAAAGGGGAGGGGGAAATTAAGGAGCGAGGGAAAGAAAATGGTAGTCGTCAGGTGCAGGCAAGGAGCTCACTTAGTCTTAAGGAAAGTAAGAAGGTCAGAGTCATCAATGCCCTTCTGCTCCGCATCTGCATCACTCCAGCTGCCCATACCCACTCCCTCTCCATCATCCTGCCTGGGCCTCTTCTTGTGCTCTTTTCCCCTTTGTATCTCCCTGTGCCCATTTCCCTGCACCGGACCATCTCCAATACCAACTTCATATTCGCCTGTCCCATCCAACCTCTGTTCCTTCTCCTGTCCAGCGCGCCTCTCTTCTGTTTCATGTCTTCCCCCGTATCTTTTATGATCCTCAACAGGCTCACGCCCTTGCCTCTCCAAATAATCATAACCATATTGCTGGTCTGGGCCATCATCAGGGAATGTGCCCCGCTTATGACCATTCTCCTTAAACCTTAACCTGCCTTTTCCATCCGATCCTACTCGAACGGACCTCCTTCCTCCCCGTCCCTCATCTCTCATACCTTCCTCGTAATCATCCTCTTCCCGAAACTCTGGCTTGTCACTACGCCAACAATCTTCATCCCAGCCCATCTCACCGTCCACATCCCTCCTCCCTTCCCACTTTGCCCCATGATCACTTTCGACCCATCCTTTCCTTCCTTCATGCTTGTCGCTCCTGACATCACCTACTTCGTCCTCCCACAAGGTCGTGTTTCCTCTTCCTCCACTTCTACCCCTCCCTGCGTTCCCAAACCGTCCTTTCTCCCGTGCAGAATCACTTCCATATGGACTCCTGCTGCGCTTTTCCCCATGCACAGCATCCCACCCTCGATCTCTCTGTTCCTCGAATTCATCATCGCTGCTACGCTCTCTACTGCTCCCTCTCTGTCCTGGTCGCAAAGGCGAGATCTGCCTAAAATTACCGCTGCTGAATCTCAAGTTTTCCCCTCTTTGTGTAGCTCTCTTCTCATACTCTCCTCTCCTTTCGTGCTCTCCTCTCCTCTCATGCTCTTCTCTCTTGCCATCCTCTCCGTCCTCTCCTCCCATTTCGTGCTTTCCTCCTCCCCGCCAAGGCCCCAGTTCCTCCTCTTTCCCTCTTCGCCAAGCTCGTCCTTCCCCGTCCTCTCTTCGCCGGCCCTTCTCTTCGTCGTCTCTTATCCCCCTCTTTTCCTCCCAATGACTATCGTCCCTAATTCTCTCCCTTCGCTCCCTTCTCCAGCCATCGCCACTTCTTTGCGTTCTCCGTGCTTCCCCCACGCTGCCTCCCCCCCTCGCATCCCTGGACGTCGTCGGTCGCTCAGCCGAATCTTCGCGTCTCTCTCTCCGGCTTTCTGCCAGCTCCAGCTCTCGCTCCTTCCACATCTCGTTCACGTCCGCCACGCGGTTGGCTGTTGAAACAGGGTTCAAGAAGACAGGGATTCGAAAGTTTTACTAGTTGACGGGAACAATGGTTCTCGCTCCATACACATTATTTGCGTCGACCGTGTAGAATAAATTGGGGAGAGTGAGCAGCAGGCGGTGGAAAGTGCGTAACGCACGTGCAGATGACCCGAAAAGGTGCCACTGCGCCCAAGTGATGTCGGAAACGGCGCTTTGACGCTGAGATTAGTGGAAGATGTGCCGCTTGCCATTTGAAAAGGCTCACCATACTCAACACTCTGCACGGTAGCTCGGAGAAACTGCGAATTAGGACGATACCGAACATGAGGCTTCAGATACGCCCTGACGCCCTCCTCAGCAGCTCTTGCCTTGAGCCGCTGGGCCTCAGCTAGAATGAGTGCTGCGATCTTTCGTTCCGTCTCACCATCCATGATGTCGTCTCACTAGAACCACCTATTTTCTAGGGCGGACACAGATTGAAGCTTTCGTTGGTTGAGCAGGGGAAAGGGAGGATTCATGTCAGATTGAGTTGGATTTTCAGATTCTCTAGAACCGTGCTGCATCGTTTAGAAAACATTGTGTTGTCGCTAGATTCCAATACTCTTGGAGAAGCAAATATTTGGGAAGCCTAGTAGACACTGTAGAACTGTAATATTTGGTAATATTTGCAAATTCTGTCACCGCCACACCCAAACGTAAACGGATGCGGAGCGCCATAACGGGGATAATTGCTCTCTGGTGGTCTCTGTCAGACCCGCATTAGGGGATAATTATTTGTCTGCAGAAACTCGCTTACCCGTCTATGATAGTAATCTGTTCTCTTGTTCCCTGGAGCTGCATGTTCGCGCTTGGTCAATTTACTCACTAGCCATGTTGGAAGATAAACTGACATCGATACTGCAGAAGTATCTCGGGGAATACTTCTCTGGACTGTCGAAGGAAGCGCTGAAAGTTAGTGTGTGGAAAGGTGGGATAAGTGTGGATTCAGTTTTACCGCAGAAGATGCAGAGATTTAGTTATCTTATTAGCGATTCCTGGGTTTTCAGGTGACATTGAGCTCAAGAATATTAGCTTGCGACCTGAAGCGCTTAGACGCCTGCAGTTACCAGTTGTAATAAAGTCAGGAATCGTAAAGGCCTTGCGCGTTCAGGTTAGTCGAGAATTCCAGCGACCCGTTTCAAGCAGGAATAGCATCAGATGCCACGGGTACTTGAATTGTAACATCATGTCTTGTCATATGATCTCAGATACCATGGAAGAGCCTCGGAAGGTCATCAATCGTCATTCATCTGGACGGACTTGAGCTCTTACTTGGACCCAACGAGTCTGTCTTTCTTGATCCGGCATCAGCTCTGAACGCCAAGCGCAAGCGCGTTCAAGTAAGCATCTGCGTATCATCCTGCTACTTTTTTTTCATGATCCCCTCGTCTTAAACGTTCTATTCCTCAGGATGCAGAGGAGCTGATCCTGTCTCGACGCGATGCCAGCGTCGGAAAAGACACCGTAAGTGCTATCAAAGCTGACCTATCCAGCTTTCTTTAGAGGAGATTGTGGTCGCACGTTGTTCATAGTAGCTACTATTGCTAACCTGCAGGGCGATACCAGAACCTGGTTGAGCACCATTGTGGATGGTGTGATCGGGAACCTCAAGCTAAGCATCTCCAACATACACGTTCGATACGAAGACTCATTGAGGTGGTTAACGCTAGCGTGATCCTTTCATCATGTGCAACTGCTACTGATTTTCTTGGTTTGTCTTTCAGGGAAATCCATGGACCCGCAGCTGTGGGAATCCAACTTAACAGGCTTGCTGCCTTTTCCGTTGACAAGGATGGAAAGGAGACTTACGTGTCCGGTGGAGAGCTTGATAGCACTAGAAAGGTATGCGATTGATAGTTGACCTAGCATGGCACTTTCTTGCACATGGGAGAAGGCTGACATGACAAATTTGTGATTTTCAGGCTCTAGAGCTACATGGTCTATCAGTGTATTGCCAACCATCATTGAATGACATGACGGTATGGCGTGTGTCGATCCGATTGTCTGCCTCTTTGTTTTTCTGGATACTGAACCTATAGTGTCTTGGTGGTACAGACTGCATCAAGCGATCGCTGGCAGTTTTCAACTTCTGAATATGTGGTCGAGCCTTTGAATGGAGCAGCATCATACAGTCGCGCAGGAAAGAACGAGACTGCGTTCTTGTGCACCCCTCAACAAGATCTCACAGTGACGCTTGACAGTGTTTCATTTGCGCTTTCGGAGGTCTGTGTTCATTTGTTATAAAAAAATACGGATTTGTGTTTTCAATAAGCAGCATTTCACAGTTCGATTCTGATGACTGCAGGACCAGTATCGGCTGATTATGAAGCTTGTTGACAAGTTTGCAGCTGCCCAACGGCGGCAAGAGTTGGCTGATATCCGACCTTCGTGCGGCATTCAAGAATGTCCTTCAGCATGGTGGACATTTGCAATTAAGGCAACATTGAAGAAAATAAAGGAGGGGCGGTAGGTGGTGCCATAGCCTGTTTTCTCTTCGTTCACCCTTGTTAGTTAAGTGTATGACGGATTAGTCTGTTCCAGAACTAACACATTCAACATTTCTACAATGCAGATCCTTCACGGACTGGAATGAGCTCATTCGCCGCACCAGAATAAGGAATGCATACATCCCCTTGTATGCCAAGCACCTTCTCCGAAGAGCTGTCCAAAAGCCCTTTGAAAGGAATCAGGAGCTTTTGTCCTTGGAGACGGATGTTGAACCAGAGGTTTTGCTGCAGTGGAGGTAATTTATGTCTAAACATACATGTTTATGTGTATATACTTTTTTAAGGACACACAAATCACCATGGTGTTTCTCCTTTTGCAGGCTTGTCGCTCATGAGCTCGTTTCACAAGAAATGAAAAAACAGAAGGGGAAAGCTCCTAGGTGAGCATGGAATTTGTTGTCTTTTTCTCGTTTTGCTCATGTCCATGTCTGATTCTTTTTATCATGTGTTGTTGTTCAGGAACGCTGTCCTCCCGGCCCAGCTTGATGCTGAAGACTGGACTCAGTTGCAAGCGCTATTACCCGAGGCTACAAACAGCGAGACCACAGTTTCTGAGATTGTGCATACACGGTGGTCTGTTCATGTGAAGGAAAGCAGATCAGTTATCAAGGATTCCCATGGCGTTTCCCTTTTGAGCCTCAACTGCAAGAGGATTCAAGTTGCATCCAGTATGCATTTGGAAACCACAGATATTCTTGTTCAAGTTGGACCATACTGTGTGGAATCACCAGAGGGAGCACTTTTTTGGAGTGGGCAAGGGCCAGAGAACACCTTGGATTTTCTATGTGTGATGCATCCCAAGGGACAGAACTTGGACTGGTTATTGCATGGCTCAGTTCAGCAGGCTCATGTTCTGGTATGCAGCATTTATTCTTATCTCGCCATTGTACGGTAAATAGAAAATGGCAATGGTTAAACAGTCCACATGTACTACTGTTTGCAGTTCATCAAGTCAAGCTTGGACCGCATCATTGAATTCTTTCAGAGTAACGACGCCTTGAGTCCTGCTCTTGCATTGGACACTGCTGACGCTTTTGAGGTATTAGTACAATAGTATTCCCCTGTATGCTTCATTTCTGGTTGGTGATCTTTTGTGGCCTCTGACTTTTGTTGTTTATCTGTTTGTTTGCTTGGTTCTTTCCCAGCAAACTGTTGAAGAAATCAAACGCCAGGCTCAGGCACAGCTGACGAACTTCATGCGCTCTGTTTCCCGGTATATACTGCCATTTCGATTGCTTGCTGAATTCTTGCCAAAATTTGTCGAAACGGCCTTCATCTCTGTCGTTTTTTTTTGTGGCTTGCAGATTTGAGGTTGTCCTTGATGTGTTTGCTCCTGAAATCACAGTCCCATCTCTGTCCGAAGGCTTCCAAAGCACCAAATTGGTGTTAAATCTTGGCCATCTTTTCCTTGATTCAAGGGCGCAGGTGGGTCAAGGCATATACGGTTTTGAGTTATTGCTGCTACTCTATCCTGCCGATAATTTACGTTTTTTGTATTGCAGCCAAACCATGCATCCACATCAACCACGACCTCAGACCTGTACATGAAGTTCCATGCCAAATTGGAAAACGTTTCAGCCTGTTTCCAGATTGTCAACGCTTCTGCTAGTCTTGGGTACCAACCTGCAGCCACAGAATCACATACACTGAAATCGATTCCTGTGTTGGAAGACTGCACTTTCGTGTCATCAATTGAACAGGTGGGGATACGTTTTTGCCGCTCACAACTTGATTTTTTGTGTTCGAAGACAATTTAATTTGTCGTTTTCGTTTCATGCAGATCTGGGTACCTCAGCCTGATTTTCCAACTTTGAGGATCAGTGCAAGGGCTCCATCTCTGGAATTTCACTTTTCTCCTGAGATACTCCATTGCCTTTTGAGATCAGCTGAGGCTTTGCGGGGATGTGACTCCCAAATTGCATCTGTTGTGCCCTGGGAGTCTGCTGACTACAAAGGCTGCATTCACGTTCTCATAAGACAGGTGTGCATTGTGAGTGGAAATCGCATTGACACTGTCAAGGTTATTATGCTGACTGATGTGTAAGTGTGGCTTGTTGTAGGGCATATCTAGTACTGAATTTTCTTGGCAAAAGAGGGTGGGGGCTGTGGCTGGGCCCTTTCTGTACATACTACCCCTGGAAAATAGTCGTTCCTACAAGCAGCGGATCAGGTGGGAGCGTGCATTGTTTTCAGTATTGTTCTCTTCTTCTTGCCGCAACCATAACTAGGTCTGACTTGCTTCGATGCAGCCTTCGAAACAAGATTCTTCTCTGTCTTACACAAAATGGCACCAGTGGGCTGGAGAATGCCCTTGTGATTTGCCCTCCTGGCTGCACTGAGGAGAAGGTACGTGGAGCTTTTGTGCTCTCGTGCTTTTCATTGCAATATTTTTTATTTTTGTTGAAATTCTGGCTTGGTGTATGCAGGCTGTGAGAACCTCAACCGCCATGCTTTTCAAGCCGGATTCTGCGATGGCTTATGAAGCTTGGAAGTCCGTCTTGCTTTCTGCCATTCACCGAGCATCTGTAGGTGTTCAAAACCAGATGTTGTTCATACGCTTATGCAAAATCTGTGCGTATTTAATGAGCCTTTTCATTTCATGTTCAGGATGCAGCATTGTCTCAGTTGAGTGAAGTCTCGTCGCTGGGGTCCCAACACCAGCCACATGTCCGACCAGCTGATTCTGTGGCGGTGTTCTTTGTTGGAGAAATGGGTACTTTGCGGATGACATTGCATGGGAAGGTTAGTTCATTGAATTTTCGGGTGATACATTTTTCTCACTATCATTAACCTCGTTTCTTTTCTCTGCTGTTCAGAATCGTCACCTTCCGGATGTGCACTCAGTGACTGAGACTCCCCTTGTGGTTCTTGAGGCCTCGAATGCTGTGGTGAGTGATGTTGGTTCATTTCCCCTTTTCACAATGCTTCTATAACTGACAACATAGTAACGATTCATAAGTTGCCGTATGCAGGTCGAAACCACACTCCTTGAAAACTCTGACCTTATTCTTGGAGCGGCCCTTTCATCACTTGAAGTCAAAGATCTTGTCTCGTGCGATGCTGGGCCGGCATGCCGGTTTCTTGCTCGATCCAGTGAGATCTTGAGAACTCCCAGCATGCCAAAGGACTGGTCACTAAATGAGGAAGAGACGAGTGAGGTGTTTCATGATGCCAATGAATTGTCATTTCCGACGCATCCATCGCAAGAAACGAGTGGTCACCGGTCGAGCCTTTGGAGCATGTCAGACTATTACGATGCTGTGGACTTTCCAGTGGATGGTGGAGATAAGCCGCTGACAACCGACGAAGTTCCTTCTCTTGAAAGCAGGCCTGCCTTGTTGGACCGACCTTGGAAGAGATCAAGTGCTTTTGTCCAAGTCCAGTACATCATACGCGTTCCAGATTCTCCAGATTTTTCTGGCGTGAATGCTGAGGTATTTGTTTCAATCCCCCCCATGTTGTCAGCTCTACTTTGGAGAAGTCCCTAATCGTGCTCATATTTTTCTGCAGCTAATATTGGACCTGAGTGGGTTGAGCTTTTATTGCAACCGACCCACTGTCCTGGCACTGATTGGAGCGTCCTTAGACTTGGCCGCTGTGCCCACTTTTGCACCCGAACCAGCAAAGTCACAACCTGGAAGTGCAGCAGATCCTAGCTCTCTACCAGTGAAGGCAGAGATAGCAGAGAAGAAAGAGACCACACTTTTCAGGTTGACTCTTTGTGTGGGGGACTTGCGGATTACTTTGAATGGAGATAATGGCCTTCCCCTTGCAGTGCTCACAAAACAGAAGCTTATGTTCCAGTTTCAGGTGAAGATTGGTCAAGTCTTTCTGCTCATGTTCAAGCTGCCATAAACTAGCTTCTTACGAATCAGGCATTTTGCAGGTCTGTGCAAGCTCGTTTCTGCTTGATGCTGAGCTTGGTCAGCTGCGAATCTGCGACCTCAGCTTGGGTGAAGGCCACCAATATGGCCTGATGTTTTCCCCAAGAAGCACTGAAGGCCAATCGTTCGCAAAGGTAACCATTTCTTTTGTGAGCTGTTTATTCATCTCCTGGTTGCTACAGCCTTATGACCTCCGTCTGTGTCCCTGTCTTAGTGCAGATTATGCTGACAAGCTCCAGCATTAGTTCAAACGGAGGTGGTTCCGAATACTCTCTCAGTGTGCAGACCTCTGAAATTCGAGTGGTCTACCTTAACCGTTTTATTCAAGAAGTGAGTGGCGATTTCTACAAACCTTTTGTCTTCTCCATCTGTTTGGTATTTCTCGTTCACTTACAACTATCGGTTCTCATGGCTATGACAAACTATCTTTCAGGTTACGTCATACCTTTCCGGGCTCTCACCACCACCTGAAGAAGACACAGAACTGGTTCTTCATTCCCATGAATCTGTCAAAGACTCGTCTGCACATGCTGTCGATGCAACAATAACACCAATCAGGCTCGCTGTCTTGTTGGGCGAGTTACTGCTGCTGCTCCCTGAATCTTCCTCAAGCGAAAAGTATGTATATCCGTGCTATCTTGATTCCGAGTATTCGCTCTATTTTCCGTGTCTTATGTTCTTGTGTTTGATGTGAGCAGCTACCTTGAGTTTGATGTGGGAAGGCTGGAGATTTCAAATTCGATTGAAGTCTTGAAGCTGCTTGGTGATGGCAAGTCAATTCATGATGTTAGCCTGGACGTCATGAAAGTGGAGGTAAGGCCTGGTTTTTATGCCATTGTGTCCTTGGACCTTTATTTATTGATAATTTGATTCTTTGTGCCATTGTAATTCATCCCCATAACAGATTGATGGAATTCGCCTGCATGCGATGACCAAGGGTCATGTCACTGACAATATGATCGAGAGGCTTGTGGGCCTTCAGGTGTTTATTGAGAGACCTTTGAGTGATCCCACAGGCCTCTTGCCTGGCTGCCATATTTCAGTGAAGGTGACTAATGGCTCTGTCCCGTTTCTGGCCTCGTTTCTTGTCCTGAGTATGTGGGAGGAGTTTTACCAAAATCCCTTTTTTTCTTCCTTTGTGCCTGCAGGTTGGGCATCTCCAAGGAGGAATGTGCAGTGCAGAGTACGCAACTGTTCTTGACTGTGTTTCTGGAAATTTTTCGGAAATGCCACGGTCGATCTCGGTTTCCACGGCAGCACGTGATTCCACTCCAGTGGCCTCCGTGACGCCATTGAAGCCTGTGGATGTGAAATCATCTGTCCACATCCAGTCTCTTGCACTCCTCTTGTATGAAGGGTCTTCACGTGAAGCCACATTCGCCAAACTTCAGGTAATGCCTTGCCTTCGGCTTAAGAGGTTCTTCCTCGTCATGGTTGAACTTGTGAGCTGGGCTGATTTCCATGTACAATGTTTCCGCAGGTTTCCAATCTATCTCTTCGCCACTTCCTGCACAGCGGAGGCATCTCGCAGTTGTTTCTGTCTATTTTTCAGGTTTTCATCAAAGACCTGACCCCTGGAGTCGCAGCAGAGGAGCGCTGGGTTTTGGGGATTGTTGACGACATGGAAGGAGTGATGTCAACAGTGGGATCTGAAAGTGCATCTTCTGCGGAATGGCCAACTCATCTCTCTTTGCTTCCTCGTGAACAAAGTGGGGCTGAGCATATCCATCCGTCACTGCCAATTCTGATTCTGGAATCTGAGTTCACAGGTGATGTCCAGAGCATGTCACTTAGGATTCAGCGTCCTCGGCTGCTGCTGGCTCCACCATTCATCTCCCACCTTTCAAGTTTCTTCACTCGCTCGGAGGATGTTGAAGCTGTATCTGCTGCTGTTCCTCGATGGGAAGATGCTTTTCACCTTCACACACCATACACGCTTCAGCAAGCGCCTGGTGTTCTAGAGATTTCCTCTCAGAAGCCTCTTGTTGCAGATGCGCCTGGTGTGTCAAGTTTTACTTTTGATGGGAACGGGGGTTCCATCGAACTGCTGGCTGCTGGGCTCACCGAAGCTACTGCTGCTGAAGCTTCTCTGATCATCGTCGGCCCAGGAAAACACCTCCGATTCAAGAACGTCCACATCTATGTAAGTTGCTCAGCATACAATGTGTTATTTCTTTCTGTCTGTAAGTGTGTGAGTAAGCAACTGCTATTGAATCATGACCCTTCATGCAGGGAGCTGAATGGCTTGCCTGTGTGGTCAAACTGGGAGTCAGAAGTAGTTATTCAGTGGATGAAGCTGATGGTGTCAAATTGCTGCCGATACGCCCAAAAGACCGACCGTCTCAGCAGCTTGACAAGCCCAGATCTCCCCAGCATGTGCCTGAACCATCTTCTGGGCATTGGAAGTTCAATCTCCAGGTGAGTAGTTTTCCCTGTGTTTCCACATTCTCACAAAAGACCTGTTGCACCTGTCTGAAATTGACACATATCTGGTGTACAATCTGTGGTCCATTTGCATACACAGGCAATTGGGTTGGAGTTGATTGCCATAGATCAGGCACGATGGGCAGCAATACAATTATCTTCTCCAGAGAATCTTTTGAGGCTCAAGGCTTCTCTGTATCTCAGGTTTGACGTCCTCCAGTAGCCTTTTCTGTTTTTTGCCAGATTCCATGTTCGTGTTTGAGTATTATAAACTTATCTTCTATGTCCTGATGCAGCATTCAAACTGTGCGAGGCATGTCGGAGGTGAACGTCGCAGTCAGGTCATCCGGGATCAGCACAGGCTCAGGGTTGTGCGTGATAGAGCCTGTTGATTCTAGAATGAGGTTCACATCCTCAACAGGCTACACGGACATCCAGTTTTCAGTTTCCGATCTGCGTACGCACTTCACGTTCAACACGGTGGAGCTCATCCTGAGGATGCAGGAGAAGTACATGAGCTCAGTGTACAGTGTTGCTGAAAATCCTCAGCATTTGTGCTTGCAGTTCAAGAAGGTGTGGGCATATGCAGGTTAGTGGAAAAGCCTTTCGGTTGGTTCACAATGACTCAGTGAATGGGCACCAAGGTTCACAGATAGTTCGTTGTTTCTGCAGGAAGGTCTGATATGCAGAGGATTTCGTTTTGGAGACCAATTGCACCACCAGGGTTTGTTGTACTTGGTGACTGCTTGACAACAGAGTAAGTGATGCCAGCATCGTATGTTTTCTATAGTATTTGAATCAAGTGGCAGCACTTGCCTTTGACCAGTGTGCTTTCTTCCCTTGGCAGTGATGCTCCCCCAACCAGAGGGGTGTTAGCTGTCAGCCTGGCAGGCGGCTATGTGAAAAAACCAGTGTCATTTGCGAAAATATGGTCATCCGAGGAGGGATCTGATGTCTCGTCAAGTCCAGAGTGCTCTGTGTGGGAACCGATTCCCCCCCCTGGATTTGTGGCTGTAGGTTGTGTTGCCCATCCAGGACCACTACCTCCCTCAGCGTCTGCTGTGTACTGCATAGAAGCATCACATGTGTCCCCTGCAGCACTTCGTGGCTGCATAACGGTGCAAGTGTACGTACGTCTGCATCAGCTGTGGCACACACTCGATGCTTCATACACACGTTCCACAACGTTCACCCGTTCATTCTCCTGTTTGCAGGAATGACGGACTGCAATCGTTCAAGCTCTGGAGGATCGAGAATGCATTGAGCACATTCTCTGCCCGTCAGGAACAGGAGGCTGCTTGTGCCTTTGCATTCGACTTGCGCTATCAGCTTCCTGCAAACACACCCAGCAATCTTTCATCGTTGCCAATTGACCTTGATGGTGTTGCAACTGGGACTTCGGCTCAGCAGGTGGAGGATTCAATGTCGTTTGAAGTTCCCTCTGTGGCAATCTCATCACGGCAGCAAGAAGGATTTCAACAAGCGCATTTCTTCAAGCTAGCCTGGGAGTCACGTAGGGAGACTTCTGGCACTGCAATTTCTGTGTGGAGGCCCCTCTGTCCCGAAGGTTTTGCATTTCTTGGCGATGTCATCCACTCCGGGTATGAAGCTTCTCATCAATCGTTGTTTTTGCCGTTTCTTCTCTGCGTGAGCTGATTTTCTTCACTTCTTTTTTCATTCCCCAATAAAATCTATGTTTGATCCCTCCACCGAGTGGAGGCAAAACTTCCAAGCACCCTAATCTGTCAATACATCTCCTTCTGGGCTTTCAGATGCTCTCCACCAGATTCCACTGTTATCATTGAGGGGGTTGATGACAGTCTCCTTGTGAAACCTTTAAGCTGGAAGCTGTTGAAGTACATTCCGACTCAAGGCACACAAGACAGCGTTGCTTTTTGGTCAGCAGTTCCACCCCCCGGTTACAGCTCTTTGGGAGTGGTTGTGACTGTGGGGAAAACAGCTCCGTCCGAAGACAGTTTCCGTTGCGTGCGGAATGATGCATGTGTGCCTGTCAAAATCGCTGCTGCTCCAGTTTTTGAACTGGTCTCACGCAAGGGAAAGCCCCTGTGCAAGCTTTGGCTTGTCGAGAATCAGGTATGCATGCGCTTATCAGGCTTGGTTCCGCATCCACTTCATCTCAGCTGCTTGTGTGCTGTATTTTGTGTAAAGTAGGTGAATTGCAGTCCCAATCAGGTCGAGCCTCATATCTGGGATATGTGTTGTATTTGCAGGTTGGGTCTTTCTTGGTCACCACAAAGGGTCGAAAGGGGCCACCTCGGCGCCTTGGCTTGGGCATTTTTGTGCTGGATGAGCAGCGGCCAGTCTCACGAGTGTATGTTGACGTCTCACTACCAGTTTTCTCTGTCACCCTCTACGATGACTTTGGGAGCCTGGTGAGTGTGAAATGCTGGTCATTTGTTCCTTTTCATTCAATTTTTCTTGCCAGAAGGAGTTTTACGATGAATGTGTGGGTATGTCTTGCTTGCCAGATGACACCACTCATCAAGATAAGCCTTGACAAACTGGTCGTGAAGTCACTCCACTATGGCACCAGTGATGTCCATCAGGTGTCTGCTGGCTGCTGTGTGGATGCTTTCAACAATCAGCAAGATGCTTGGGAGCCCTTTTTGGAGCCTTGGCATGGGATGGTCAGGTATGCTTTTCCCAGTGATTCAAAGGCCTGAGATGCTCTTTGAAAACACGTCGTTTTGTCTTTTAATGTGCATACTGATGTGGTGCAGAGCTGAGTTGGCTGGGAAGGATGGCCTTGAGCCACCACTGTCAACTTGTCGAGTGGTGTCCAACAGCAAGGTGAACATCAATCTATCGTCAGTGAACGTCAATCACTTCGGGGAGGCGTATGCAGACTGGCTGAAGCTCCTAGAATCCAAGGAGGATGCAGAGAGGGCCATTCACATGGTGAGAGCCGAGTTTCATGACATATGGCTTGCTAGTTGATGAGAGGTGAAATGTTTTACCATGCTTTTTTCTCTGCTTGTGTCCTCTGTGTACTGCAGATCGAGCATGATAAGGATGAGGAAGGGGACACAGAAGAGTACACACATGCAACGGAGCGGCCTGCCTACATCGTGCAGCACAATTCATCCGGCATTGATCTATTCTTCCGAGTGGTGGACAAGAAGTTGGAGTCTAGGGTCTTCTGCTTGCCGTCTGGCAGCCAGGCTTGCATTGTGGTGCCACCGGAGACCAGTTCTTTACACCCGTCACCCGAGCATCACAGCAGTGTCCAAAGAGGTTCCGTTCTTGCATTTGGTATCGGTGACCTGCAGGTGGGTCGATATTCATGTCTGTTATTGAAATGAATGCTAGCAGCTTCTGTAAACTTCAACAAATGAGTTTCTTTCCCACTGAAATTTCTGCAGATTCCCAAAGAGCTGGTCTCTAATCCAGAGGAGCTTGTCTGTTCGGTCTCGTTGACCTCAGCCATTGATGTCAACGGGTTTCAGTGCGCGCAGCAGGCACGCACGAGTATGAAGGTTCCTGCAAGTGCTGGGAACTCGTGGCTGGTTTCTTGGAACGAGGTTTTTCTCTTCGAGAGCACGCTGGAGGTAATGCTGTGGCTGCAACATAGGTTTCTCCTTTCTGAGTTTGAGCATCTTACCTACGAAGATTGCTACTTTACTCGCAGGAAGGAGAGACGGTGTGTGTTGCAGTGGAGCGAAGCGCTTTCACAGGTATCTCCATCATGAGCGTCACTTTCCTGTTTTTGCTTTTGTAAAAGCTAAGCTGATTCTTCGTTTTTCTTCATTGCTGCAGGATTGGTTCTTTTCAGTTTCACTTGGGCTGCGAAGCCTGGCGTGAATATGGCAGAAATCGAGTATTCATCACACAAAAATTCCACCACAGGCCACTCTTGGCTCTCCTCCAATCTTGAGCCTGTAAGTGTGCATCATATTGCCATCATCACAGGTCAGCAAGTCGTTTTCTGTGCAATGTCAGCATCTGACAAATGATTTTATCTGCAGGTGTCTGGCGACCATGGCACTGCTCACCTCAGTGTATTCCACCACTTTGGCAAGATTGGAGCTGATGGAAGATTGGAACCTCTGAATGAAGTCCCGGACTTGCCTATCCGGGAGCAGTGGCAGCCATTTCAGATGTCACTGACTAAGGATGGACTGTGGACCCCCATTAGCTCTGTCTACGGTGGTGGTGTTGTTTCCAAACAACTGGGTGGCATGATGTTGGCTGTTCAAGTGTCCATGGTTGAAGGGGAGAAGCATCTGAATGTCAGGTCATTGGTGACTGTAGTGAACAAGACAGAGGCTACCCTGGAGGTCTGTCTGTGCCCACGCTCACTATTGTCACAGTCCTCCAATGATGAGCACAGCAGCGCTACCGTGCATGCTGCTGTATCAGAACGAGCAAGGGAAGGTGCTTCTCAGGACGAGGGAGGTGGTGGAGGAGTTGAAGTTGTTGAGATCTTTGAGAACGAAAGGCATCTGCCCTTCCTGGGTTGGAGCTCCTCTAACCTACTTCCTATCGACCCCAAGGGCTGGAGCGACCTCAAATCAAAGTCGTCCTCAAAGGTAACCCTAAGCTGATAGTTTGCGCCATGCAACTTACTCCGACTGTTTGTCCGATGTCTACTCACCATGCCGTTCCCTTTTTGTTCCATAGGGTTTCAAGGAGCCTGAGCTGCCTGCTGGCTGGATCTGGAGTTCCGGCTGGCACATTGAAGTTTCTGAGCACGTGGACAAGGATGGGTGGGCGTACTTCCCAAGCTTTTTGGAGGCATCGTGGCCACCCAGAGGCACTGCACATCGGGTGAAAGGACTCCCTGATGCTGTCCGAAGGAGGCGGTGGGTGCGATTTCGGCAGCAGTCACCACTCGCAAAAGCACCTGGTCGAGTTCTTTGTGGCTTGGTGGAACCAGGCAGCACTCTTCCTCTTCCTGTCCTACCTGCATCAACAGATCACACTGACCCGTGCATCCAAATTCGGCCGCGTGTTGCACCGTCTGACAACTCTGAAGCCACTGCCATCCCATTCTCATGGGGATATGTTGACAAGCATGCCTCAAAGGTCCTCAGGGACACCTCCACTTTAAAGCAGGCGCTTCCTCCTTTCTCGGACTTTCCTTTGCTGACCCTTGGGAAGACTGAAGAGTTGCTGTCCTGTCAGCGATCATCAACAGACAGTGAGCACCCAGAAACCCGCTGGATGCTGGTGGAGTCAATCGGCACCCCTTTAAGCAAGCGCTCAAGCTTCACTCCAACCGTGGACTGGGAGATTGTTGCAGAAGCGCCCATGACTTTCTGCAACTTGTTGCCAGAGCCAATCACCCTGTCCATCTGGAGCTCTGATCCTCCATCCACTGAGGTTCTGCTGAAGGAAGATGGCCTGGTGTTGGAACCTGGAGCCAAGAAGGGCATCTTGTCTGTACACCCGAAGGGTCGTCTTCTTGTGTGTCTGAAGATTCGTGAATCATGGGTTCCACCAGATGAATCCGAGGTGAGCTTACAGGCACTTGCTTCATACAACGATACAGCAGCCTGTGGAAGTAACCTTGACCTTTCCTGATGTCCGTTCGTGTGTGCATATGCAGGAGCGTATGATAATCTTTCACCCTCAAGAGCCTCTTCCGTCAGAAGTCACTCTGATGCACAAGGATACTCACAGGTAAATATATTTGCTGTATCCCTTGTCAACCATTTTTGCTCCTATTCTTCTACACACGTTTTTAGTTTATTCCTGTGAAACCTTCAGGCATCTTCAAGTGTCCATCGATCGGACTTGGTCTGCCACCTTTGGCACGCTGAAGGAGGTCACCTTCTCAGTTCCTTGCTGGGTAGACACAGCTGGCTGCCCGCCCGTGGTACTCTCCCTGTCTCATGGGACTTCAGTTGCTGCCATAGCTAGTGGTTCCTTCAAACGGCCATGGACAGAGCACAAGTGGAATGGTAAAACTTCAATGAATCTGCTGCGGAGTCAATCTACAAAGGACGAAGTGGTGAACGTGGGGACTGAGGGACGAAGCACAGTGATGCTGTCTCGATGTGACGACACCTCTGTTATCCGCTTTGCATTGGATAGCTCAGGGGGCGTGGAGGAGTATGGGCCCGACTTGTCCATTGCAACTGTTCAATCTCAGGTGAAGAACACCACATCACGTCCTGTTTTCAGTTGACAATCTATTTTAGAATTATGCTTCAAATTGGCATCTGTAAGCAACTCTGCACGCTGACGCAAGTCTTTATGTTGTGCGGCAGAGCACAATGTGCAACTCACAAGCCACAGCAGCCGATGGCTCATACCTACCACTTGTGGCTTTTATGGACGTCAGCCCTTTCGGCTCTCAAGTTACAAAGGTTAAATCTCGAGCTTTGGCCAGCTTTGGAATACCCATTCGCATGCAAACGCCATCTAACCTTTTTCTTCCTTTGTGTGCAGGTGCTGAAGGTCCGGCCGTTGCTCACTCTCACTAATCGACTAGGAGAAGCAGTATTTGTGAGACCACCTGGGGCAGAGGAGCATATCACGGATTTAGCACCATCTGACTGGCACAAACCACTTGTTTACCCACGTGCTTTTGGAACAGACACATTCCAGGTGCGACTGCTAGGCTGCTCTTTGGCTTGTTTCTTCGTATCTTTGCCCTCTTGACTATGGTGAATGGTGCTGTGATATGCTGCACGTTGCAGGTTCGTACTAGTTTATCCACGTGGAGCTATCCACTCAAGCTCTCAGTGGATGCTGAGGTGATCGCTGTTGTGCGACTGCTGAGAGACAACTCCCGCCACTTCATTCGAATAGACGGCCGAGCTGGAGGGGCCACTTCCAAGCACATGATATCATTTCGGTTTGGGGGTCTTCACCTTCCATTCAAGTGAGTGAGGCTATGATTTCCTGTTTCACCAAAGGGCTGAGGTTGGTTCGTGAATCTTGCCTGCCTGTTTCTTTGTTTCTTCATTTCTGATTCACATATCTCTCTTCCTCACTTCAGACTTGAGAATCACTCCAGCCACACTGTCTGTTTCCGGCAAAGTGGTCTACCCATGACAGCATGGGAGGTCCTCTTGCCAAAGTCAGCTGCTGCATTTGCTTGGGAAGACCCAGGCGGGGATAGATGTTTGGAGGTTTATGCCCGCACCCGTGAGGAGTCCACTGGAGAGTCTCTAGAGAGCAGAGCACATCCTCCAGGCTCCATGCTGTACGATCTGTCAGAGCCAGGAAATCTTGCCTCGCTTCCTCTGCCTGCTGCTGGTGGACGCCTGCGCGTTCAGTCATTTGACTGTGACAGTGTCCGCATCATCCGCTTCATGAACGGTGGAGTCATGACTGGGGAGGAGGACCAGCAGCAGCAGCAGCAGCAGAGGGATGGTGAGATGGCCGCACCTGCTGGCTCGACGCTTGAGCGGCAGCATAGCGCCAATGTCCTGAACAAGGGCTCAAAAATGGAGATCAGTTTGGACCTTATGAGTGTGGGGCTGTCAATTATTGACCAGCGACCTCAGGAGTTGCTGTATGCATTCTCAGAAGGTTTCCTGCTGAACTACCGCTACGATGGGCAAGATGACTCAAGCAGGTGGGGCTCACCATGGTTGGAGAAAGCATACAAGCAGGGAGCATGTCCCTGCTCTCTTGCCTCCATAGGTTTCTTACCTCTCCTGTGTTTTCTTGGCAGGTTGAAGCTGATTCTGAAGAGTCTGCGCATTGATAACCAGCTGCCTCTGTCTCCCTTACCAGTGCTACTGTTCTTGGAGCAGAAAGGCATGCCTGAAAAGGACCACGTTTTCAAGTTCCTTGTCTCGTCTCGTGGCAGCATGAAGCAAGACGAAGTCTGCTACCCAAAACTCACGCTCTGGGTGTGTCATGCCATTGCTATAGTCGTATTTCCGTTAGTTCGTTTCCTTTCTCCATGCTGTTTGTCAAGCATGCTCGGTTCCTTAAATACTTTTTCTTTTGGTTATCATTGCTTGCCTTCATTCATCTTCATGCTCGCAGTTGGCACAGGAGCCGTGGCAAGTGAATGTGCATGAGGCCATTGTGTGGCGGCTGTGGGAGCTTATGGAGAGCATTTACTGGGAGCACTTCTTTGCTCCGGAGTCTGCTGGTGCTGACGGAGGGGCAGTGGCTTCTGTCCAGGTCGACCCAATGATTCGCATAGAGTGAGTCTCTGTGCGCTTGTTATGCTGATCCCACACTGGCTTGGAAATTCCAACAATACAGCAGCTGTCCACTTGACACTGCAATGTATTGCTCATATCAAGGTTCTAACCATCTCACCTTGTTGTGAGACTTTCCTTGTGTGTTGTTGTTGCGACTTTCCAGCCACCTAGTCGTCTCGGGTGCTCACCTTAAGCTCACGCTTGAAGCTGCCCCGACATCCCGGCCTGCACAGCTCCTTGGCTCGTGGAGTAGTCTTGTCACTGCAGCAGGGAACACCAAGCGCATGCCAGTGAGTAAATCCTCAATGTACGCACATGCACAGGTAATGCTAAACTCACAGCCTTGCACTGCAACGCTTCTTGCATATACGGATTTCTGGGTGACTGATTGAGTTTCTTTTTTTGTTACGTATCTGCCCTTCTGTATGTACCTCAGGTCCGGCTGTCAGGGGCAACAGCCGAGTCAAGGCGACTGCGCAGGAGCATCTTCATGGAGGCAGTGGTGCGGCATGTGCTGCGGGATCTCTTACACCAGTCACTGCGCCTGCTGTCCGGTGTAGACGTGCTGGGAGTCATCAGCTCCACTCTTACTGCTCTCGGACATGGAGCTTCGAGGCTCGTACATAAGGAGGACATGAGCAACAGGCACTTCCAGCAGGTAATGGTGGTGCCTTCACTCTGAATTAGATGCTCAACATGGGTGCCCAACAAAATCATGTTCAGTGTGAATGATTGTGGAAGGAGAACCTTACCCTGTTGCTTTATATCAACATCTCCTCATCGTTTCTCTCCATGCGTGTGCAGGCTCTTGGCAACCAGCTGGACAACGTTGGAGAGGGCCTTCTTTATGGCGCCGAAGCAATGGCGAAAGGAGTGGCCTTAGGGGTGGCTGATGTCCTCGTCCGTTCTCGCTCCGGCTATGAGACCCACGGGCCACCAGGACTGCTCCTTGGCCTCAGCAAGGGCTTGGCAGGGCTTGTGGTGCATCCAGTGACGGGCTGCCTGCACTCTCTGGCGTTCCTTGTCGCCGGCGTGGATGCGTCTACAGCTTCTTGCGCTCGCATGGTGCAGCGAAAGCCTCAGCTGCAGCGGCTGCGTCTGCCCAGGGCGATCTCTGCTGATGGGGTTCTTCACGAGTACAGCAAGGAGAGCGCAGTTGGCCAGGTTCTTGTCTTCTTCCAAATGCCCTCGTTTTCTCATCTTGGCATCACTTCCAACTCCCTACCTTCTGTTCGTTTTCATACCCACCAGTTCTGCTGTTACTGGTGCGTTTTCTTATGTCTGTTGCCATCCTCTCATGCCCTCATAACACTTTTATTTCAGATGGTGTTGTTCCTGGCTGAAGCGGGCTCATACTTCGGCAAGCATGACATATTCAGGGACCACTCCAAGTTCGCCCTATCAGATGCCTACGTGAATCACATTCTTCTGCCCAACTGCCGCATCCTACTAATCACCAGCCGCAGAGTCATGATGCTCAAGGTGGGTAAAAATGCACTGTTCATCACATTTCAACATGTTGTCGGTGGTTTCTTCCCTGAAATTCTTGAACCTGCTTAACCTGGTTTTCCTGTATAACACATGCTTCACTTTCCTGCTTTGTTAGCAAAACTTCTACGTGATGCCCATCCTCCCCAATTCCTTCTTTCTGACCTGTATCTCGTATCTCCTCAGTGCCCTGTGGATCCAGCTGGCCAACCTGACTCACTGGCACTGGTGCAAGGTCCATCCCTTGTGCGTTGGGATGTACCATGGGACAACCTGCTCGCATTGGAGACCAAGTACATTCCTAGCTTCCCTCGGCCAGTAGTCTGTGTGCACATGCGAGAGCCTACACCTCAACGCCTCTACACCATTATCCGCTGCCCAGAATCACATCCTGCTGAGCACGTGCAGGCGGAAGTTGCTTCAGAATTTGAGACCTACAGTCCCAAGCAAGTCAATTTCGAAGCAACACAGGTGATTTCTTCTTCAACATGAGTTCTCCGTATATATCTGCACTTGCGTTGAATCAACTTCTCTCTGTGCTTATTCTGCTGCAGATCCCAAGTGAGATTCCTCACCACTCGTTCCTGTCCACTGCCAGCAGCCGGTCTTCTATCTCGCTCACCACTTCATCAACCCGGCCCATCCAGCCAACACAGTCCAGGAGGTTCGGTCGCCAGCACAGCGTCCGGACCTCAGAGGCGGCACTGGCAATTGGCCAGCGTGCACTGTCTTCTAGCGAATCCAACCCGCTCATCATGACCCGTCCAATAGCATTGGCGTCCACGGCCTCTCACTCACTCCCATCGCACGTCGAGACGGATACATTCATTCGTGCATGGGTGGTTGAGGATGGACAATCTTTCTGCTTCTCTTCTTGTCAGGGAGTATGTTGCTTCTACTTCTGTAACTGACTGTCATTTTTTTACGTTTTTGTTTAACATATCTGTTCTCACTTACATTTGATGGGTCTGCCTCTTAATCCTGTGCCAGGATGCTGCTGAAGCTGGGCATTTTGCGATTTGGAAGCCAGTGCCTCCAGAAGGGTAGGCCAAATGTCAGTGCTTATCCCTTTCCATATATCTAGCATTCAGTGGGCGTTGCATTCAAAAGTTGCTGTCATGTCATGTTCATCATGACCCTATGCAGGTACATCTCCCTGGGGGATGTGGCATGGCGAGGGCTGACCCCCCCTCCAGCTGTGCGAGTGCACTCCATCACGCCAGCGTCGCTAGCTGCCGGTTCTGCCAATGCCTTTGCTACGCCAGATGACTACTTTCTTGTGAGTGGCTTGAGAAAACGACCTGCCAATGTCCCACTAGTTTCCCCTCCTCTCCCCTCCTCCCTACCCTGGTACTAAGTTCTGCACTCATTCCAAAATGTCTCAGGTGTGGAGGAATCGGGTGACCAAGACGCAAGATCCGGTCAGTATATGGAGGCCAATCCCTCCAGAGGGGTATGTCAGCATGGGCTGTGTGGCAATGGGGGGCTACGACAAGCCACCGAAGAGTGATTCCCGCTTGACAGTGCACTGTATTCGCCAGGACTTAGTAAGGCCTGCAGAGGTGGAGGAGATGGAGCTGTGGCATACTGTATCCAGGTGGGAGCATTCATGGGGTTGCCATGTGCATCAGGTCAATAACGCAGCAAGAACATTCATTGCGGTTAGAAGTAGAGAGGAAAGAGCAATGGTTGAGAATGGGTGGGATGTTTAAACAGTGCCTTTTGCTTGCATGAGGGTGTGACTGAAGGGTGGCCCAGTTTGTACTTCAGATTTGGTACACTGTTAATATATCTCATTCAAGTCCACCCATGCTACACTGCTTAAAAATATTCTTGGCTTAGGGCTTGTCCCATGTTCAGACTGGTGGCTCATGGTTCAAAGCGGTGGAGCAGAGAACCTTTTAAAAATGCACAGAGCCTTTCTCCACCACAGATATTGAACAAGAAATGAACGTGTGGGACACGCCCTAAGGTGCACACCTTTGTAGAGAACTACATGACACACGAGGCAACCATGATAGCCGTACCCCGCCTCCGAACGCGAATTTACATCATTTCGTCGTCTCAATTGCTACGCCCGCTGTACACGACCCAGTGTTTGCTCACGAACTGTTAGGCCCGCTGGCCTAAATCCGCTAAGGATTAGCGGGGTTGACTAAGTCGAGGATAAACGCGGCGGAAGACTTTGGCGAAAGAACTATTGGCGAAATAGGCGAAGAAGTTACTGAGTAATTGAAGAAGAGTTGAATGAGAATTGATTGATCTTGGTGGATACAAGCAAGGATGATATAGCATGCAAGGTCGAATGTCGGAAAGTACTTCGTGGGACTAGAAAGTAGAAGCAAGAAAGGTAGAGTGCCACGTGGCACTACGAAATCTGAAAAGATAAGGATAACGATGGGGTTGGGAGTACTGTTCAAATGGAACAGTAAACACCCCTCAAACACTACCGCCCTCCCAAGGAGGCGACATCCGCGGCGCCTGCAGACTGAAGGTACGCTTGGAGGCAAGCGTTGTCGAGAGACAGCGAGGACGAAGGAACCCAGCTGTCATCTGCTGCGTCGTAACCACGCCAACGAACCAAGAAGTCGATGAAAGAGAAACCCCCCTGGAGACGGCGACGGTGCCTGAGGATGCGCTAGATCTGGTAGCCGGGCTCGTCAGTGTCAACAGCTACCGGAAGTGGAGTGCGGTCACGGCCCGAGAAGGTGGCGTTGGGGTCGGTGTAAGGACGAAGAAGCGACACGTGGAATGACGGGTGCATGCGGAAATGAGCGGGAAAGCGGAGGCGGTATGCGACTGGACCAAGTGTGCGCTCAATGACGAATGGACCAATGAAGCGAGGGCGAAGCTTGCTGTCCTGTGGCTGTCGGAGGTTGCGGCTATCCAAGAGAACACGATCGCCGACTGCGAACGACACCTCACGACGACTGCGGTTGGTGGTGCGTGCCATGCATGCATTTGCGAGCTCAAGGTGCTTCCTCTCGTGATCATGAATGAAGATGAGATGCTGGTGGAAGTTGTCCGCACAAGGGATAGTGGGTGCGAGATCGACACGAGTGGGGACATTGGGGTGCTGACCGTGCAGTGCGAAGAACGGTGACATGCCTATGGCGGAGTGGTGCGTGCTGTTGTAGGCGAACTCTGCCATGCTCAGCTTCTTGTCACATGCGGCTGCGTCGTGCATCGTGATGCTGCGAAGAATCTGCTCCAAGGTCTGGTTCACATGCTCGCTCTGTCCGTCTGTCTCTGGATGGTACGCAGACGACATGGCTAAGCGAGTCCCAAACAGTGCGAAAAATTGCTTCCAGAACTTCGAAGTAAAACGAGGGTCGCGGTCTAAGATGATGGAATCTGGAACCCCGTGCAGTCGGACTACGTTATCTACGAACAGTGTCGCGGCTTCCTCTGCTGTGACCTTGCCGTGCGTGGGGATGAAGTGCGATGCTCGAGAGAACTTGTCGACTACAACGAAGATGGCGTCGTGACCCCTAACTGTGCGCGGTAAAGCCATGATGAAATCCATGGTGACTACCTGCCATAGGCGTTCGGGCGGTGGAATCGGTTGCAAGAGTCCTGCTTTGTGTTGGCGAGAGGACTTCGTACGCTGACACGTGTCGCACGAGCGAATGTAATCCTCTACGTGTGCTGCGAGCCCTGGCCAGTAGTACGTGCGTCTAAGCGTCTTAGCCGTCTTATCTGCTCTAAAGTGACCTACACTAACTACGTCGTGCGCCTCTGAGAGAAGGAGCTGTCGAAGAGGGCAGTAGGCTGGAACCTAAATCCGTGTGGTACCCTTCCGTATATAGACACTACCCTGCACCTCTGCTCCTGCGGGCGGCTGCGGTGTGAAGTCGGGATCTACTGTATAACCGTGCTCGAAGAGTGCTGTGAGAAGTGGATGGCCGGCAGTAACTGTGAGGCTGGCGAGCTGGCAACAAGGGCGAGTGAGCGGATCTGCTGGGTTGCGAACGCCTGGCTTGTACTCTATCCTGTAGTGGAAAATCCCCTCCATGAACTCCATCCATCTAGCCTGGCGACGACTTAACTGCGGCTATGACTTGAGAAAACGAAGCGAGCAATGGTTCGTGCGTATAACACTATCTGCCCCCTCTAGGTAGCAACTCCACACCTTATACGCATGGATGATCGCGAGCGCCTCCTTGTCGTGTATGGGATAGTTCAACTCTACTCCCCTAAGCTTACGCGACTCGTACGCGATCGGCTGCAACCCGCGTCCTTGGTCCTGAAAAAGCACTGCTCTAATGGCCCGATCTGATGCGTTGGTCACTACAACGTACGGGCGAGTGGGATCTGGGTACGACAGTGTCGGTGAAGACGTGAGCGACTGCTTCATTTGCTCGAATGCATGCTGCTGCGCTAGACCCCAATCGAAATCTACGCCCTTCCGAAGTAGGTCGGTGAGTTGAGTAGCTATCGATGCGTAACCCTGAACAAAACAACGGTAGAAATTTGCGAATCCGATAAAGCTTTGCAACTCTTTGACTGAGGTCGGTGCTACCCAATCTTGTACTGTTGCGATCTTCTTCGGATCGGTCCTAATGCCACTAGCGGATACGACGTGTCCTAGGAACTCGACCTCAGGAAGAAAGAACTCGCACTTTGACTGCTTCGCGTACAGCTTTTCCCTCCGCAAGTCCTCAAAGACCCTCTGCAAGTTCTGCACGTGCTCTTCTTTCGACTTGGAGAAGATCATGATGTCGTCTAGGTAAACGACAACGAATGAACCTAGGAACTCGGAAAGGACGGTGTTCATGAGCGTCTGAAACGTCGCCGGGGCGTTGGTCAAGCCGAATGGTAGAACCCTAAACTCGTACAACCTTTGCTGTCAGATATAGTAGGAGTACGGCCTAGGCTTAGTAGCCTAGCCCATAGTAGGACTAGGGCAGTGAGGCGCCAAGTACGAGCTAGGTTGTGTGAAGGAATTAAATTGAGAAGTGAGTGATTGAACTAGCAAGCAGTAGGATACAAATAGCAAACCCTAAGGGGCTGTACTCACTATTGAGTGCCCCACTGCAGGCTACACAAACAACATATTCTGACACACCCCCATAGCCAAAGTGGGGTGTAATCAGCACAGTAAGCAAAGCAGAACAAGCTCAGGGTGGATCACAATGTCACCACACATTCTGAGCACAATTACAAGAAACAACAGTTTAAAGTTCACAATTATGAGCAAAGCTAGTGGTAGTCACAGCGGGCACGTGAGTAGGAGGAGGGACTGTGAGAGGAGAGAAGATGGGAGACGATGGCTGAAGCTGCAGACACACGGGCAACAGGAGCGGCTGGCACAGTGGCTACCGGGACAGCGCCCCGGACTGCTGGAGTAACTGGCTCACGGGCTACAACGAGCTACAGGAGCAACGGACCCACGGGCGACAGGCGCAGCAGGCTCTCTGGGCTACCAGGACAGCGCCCCGGACTACAGGTGCTGCGGACGACTAGACGGCAGCCTCCTCTCAGCCTCCCCAAGCAGTCCCACACCCCCAGTTTCACCCCTAGCTCCACTCCCACATCACCCCCATAGCTCCACTCCCCACAATCACCCCCATAGCTCCACTCTCCACAGCTCCCACACCTCCACCCCCCTCAGCGGCAGCTGCAGCAGTGGGAGATGAAAAAGGAGGAGGGGAGAACCCACTCCTCTCACCCCCATGCTTGCCACCCCACACCCCCACCACCGCGGAACGCACGGCGGAATGGGAGCAATGGGCAGCACAGAGGGGGGGGGGAGGGGGGGGGGGGGGGGGTGGAGGACGGGACGGGCGTCCGGTGGGGTGGCTCGCACGGGTCTTGGGGCGGCTGCTGCAGGCACGGGCTGCTCCAGGGGCTATTGCTGCAGGTGCGGGCTGCTCCAGGGGCGGCCGCTGCAGGTGAGAGGTAGGAGGGAGGGGGGCGCCCCTAGGGGGGACGAACAAAGAGCCGCGCGGCCCCCCCCCTCGGGGCGCCACGACGGGCACCAGAGAGGGCGCCGCGACGGGCCTTCAGAGCCGCCTCGACGGGCGATGGGGAGGGCGCCGCGCAGGCCCCCCGAAGTCGCCGTGACGGGCGACGTAGAGGGCGCCGCGCGGGCCCCCCAAAGTTGCCACGACGGGCGACGGGGAGGGCCGTGCACGGCCCCCGAAGTCGCCTCGACGGGCGACGGGGAGGGGGTCGCGCACGGCCGCCGAAGTCGCCTCGACGCGCGATGGGGAGGGCGCCGCACACAGCCCCCGTGGTCGCCACGACGGGTGACGGGGAGGGCGCCGCGGACGGCCCCTTTGTCGCCACGACGGGCGACGGGAGGGGAGGCCGCGCGGGTCCCCGAGAGCGCCACGACGGGCGCTTCGACGGGAG